CTTGTTTGTGCGTGCAAATGCTGACTTTTCGGAGATGTTAGATGCGTGATCCCGACAGTGAGCCTTCCAGCAGCCATGTCGCCCCGAAAGGAATGCTATTTGGGTGGAGGCAATCGGGCGTTCGCGTAGCGACAAACGTGTCCAGTTACGTTCTCGTCATATCGCTCTGGAGGCCGTCGAGATTCGCCCCGTGTGCACCTAACGTCCGCGACTAGACAGAAAATAAAAAAAGCACTATGTCCACTACATAAAAATGGTCTCAGTTCATGCATCTGTAGGCAGGTACGAAATCGTGCCCAAATTTATTCACACCGCACGATGCAACACGTCGCTGTGCAAACGCAGTCCAACACGAAGCATAAAAACGGCAGATTTAGGACAACAATGCGGAGTCCATTGTTCAATTAAAACGTAGTAATTTTGTTGAAAACGCCCGCAGCTTTTTACTCACGGAATGCGTCGGGAAACTTCCACATTTTGAAACAGAACGAGGCAGATCTACTTTTAAGAACGCTCCCAGCGTCCTCCCGGACCAGTTTGACTGGATCAGCTGACGACGACGGGACTTAACTGGTTGAACGTCAACCCCACAACAACCAATTTGCGCTCCGTGTTAGCACCGCATTACACACACCACAAACGTTTCAGCTCTGTCTCATCGCCGTGTTGCACCAAACAGAACGAGATCGCCGAAACCAACGCAGCGCTGTCGTGAACCTTGGCTCGTGGTTGCGCACTCGTGGATTCTGTGACTCCCTTCGCTTTGAAAGCGCGCACGACGATTACGAACGATACTTTCCATCTTCCGAGAACATCACAGGGGCACTTCTCCGGTCACGTCTTCGCTACATGTGCTCGCAAACCGCACTCCGGAGTGCGCTTCGCGCGGAAATGGCTATACGCACTCCTCCGAGAGATCATGCCGCTCGGGCCACCCTTTTCGAACGGCGCGTGAATCACTGGGGCGCTCGTTAACACAGCCCCCCGCCTGCGTTCACGCCGCTTCGCGGCGACAGTATCGGCTGCTAATTACAAAGCGTAACCAGTACACGCCGCTTCGCGGCGTCCAGCCGGCAATCCAAGCCCCGCTGTCCCCGATCGCACCTCCGGAAAGGGAGTCCGATACCATTTAGTTCTGCGAAGTTTCTCGACAACATTCGATTTTTTTTTTTTTTTTACTGTTCATCGCAGAAAAGGAAATGTCGTAAATATCGCCAAATGCCTCGACAAAACAAAATGTTTGAGAAAAAAAAAAAAAAAAAGTAGGCCCACCGCGGATCGAACCCGCGTCCACTTGCGTATGAAGCGGACACCCTAACCCCTATGCCATGGCACCGCTTAGGAAACTCGTTGTGTCCACTCTTTTTATACGAGAAAAGGGAGTGCGTATAGCCATTTCCGTCCGAAGCGCACTCCGGAGTGCGTATAGCTTTACTCACCAAAAAAATACCACGGCCTGGCGTGGTTGCCAGATCTTGCCGGAAGTCGAGTCGCTGCGTCGTTCAACTCCGCAACGCAAGGAGAGTGAGGGGCGGGGCGTACTCCTCTTCCGCGGGGGTCGAAAGAGCGGGAGTTTCAAATGTGGAGAAATTCTGACTCTACTAAATTACGTCCTGTGGCGTAAATATTGATAAAAAAAATATTTTTTTTCGCGGTACATTTGTTTTGTGACATGCTTGTCCCAATTAGGCTGTTTAAAAAAAAACTTTTTTTTCTTTGCAGTTACCCTTTAAATGTCAAATCTATATTCACTCCGCAGTGCAAAGAAAGTGAGGCTATGAAACCCCCTTGCCATCAGTGAATAAGAAAATACCTAGTTTTCTCTCGATTTCTGCCACCATTCACTTAATCTTTGCTTGGTAATCTCTACAGTCTTGAAATCCACTCTCCCTTCGCTGTCTCTAAAACCCAATGACTTTATTAAATCTATGTTGTCTTCGGTAGGCATAGGGTGAAGCCCTTTACAGTAGAGTATCAAGTGCTCAGCCGTCTCGTCCTCCTCTCCACAAGCAGTGCACACTGTATCAATTTCCTGGTACTTCACTCTGTATGTTCTGGTTCGCAGAACACCCGTTCTTGCCTCAAACAGCAATGAGCTTCCCCTAGAATTGTCATAAATGCTTTCTTTGGCAATAACTATTTTGTTTAATCTATAGCTTTCCAGAGCCGTCTTTGTCTGCATTCCCTCTAGCCACCGATCTCTTTCTGTGGCCTTAACTTTCTTCTTAACTGAGACTTGCTCTTCCGTATCTTCGCTATAGCCCAAAAACTTTCCTCTTAATTTCCTAGTGCGCTGTCTCCACTTTGTGTCTACACTCCTCATGTATAAATAGCTGAAAACCTTTCGTGCCCATTGCTCCCCGTCCATTTGCCTCAACCTATCCTCAAATTCTACCTTGCTCACCGCTTCCCTGCTCTCAAATGATGCCCATCCCATGTCTCCTTGTACTCCCTGGTTTGGCGTTTTGCAATGTGCCCCCAAAGCCAGTCTACCTACTCCGCGCTGTTTTATTTCTAGTCTCGCATGCACTTCGGATTTCATGCATAGCACTGCGTTTCCAAAAGTCAAGCCAGGCACCATGACCCCTTTCCAAATCTCTCTCACCAGCTCGTACCTGTTGTAATTCCAAAGTGCTCTATTTTTCATTACAGCTGCATTTCTGTTGCCCTTACCTATTATATACTTTTCATGGTCTCTGAGATATTCTGCACCATCACATATCCATACTCCTAGATACTTGTATTTACTAGCTCTCTCAACTGTAATATTCTGTATCTTCAGCCTCTCAACTTCATCCTCGTTAAAAATCATGACTGCTGATTTTTCGCTACTGAATTCTAAACCTAATTCCTCTCCTTCCCTACCACAGATGCTCATTAATTCCTGCAACTCTGTCCTGTTGTTAGCCATTAGTACAATATCATCCGCATACATCAATCCCGGTAAGGATTGCTGAATTTTTTGGCCTAGCTTACTGTAAGAAAGGTTGAACCCAAGCCCACTCTTCTCTAGTCTATCCTCCAATCCTCTCAGATACAACATAAACAGCAAAGGCGATAACGGGCACCCCTGCCTAAGGCCTCGTCTTATCTCTATTTTCCCCGTCACCTTTCCTTCCCATGTTATAATCACCTTGTTATCTTTGTAGATGTTCCTTAATAGTGCTGTTAGTCCTTCATCTAGGTTTAAAATCTCCATTATGTCCCACAGGTTTCTTTGGTTCACATTGTCATAGGCACCCTTGATATCCAGAAATGCCAGCCAGAGCTGTCTGTTTTCTTTTTGCGCTATTTCTATACACTGTGTTAGAGAAAATAAATTGTCCTCCAACCTTCTTTGTTTTCGAAACCCGTTCTGTAACTCGCCCAGTATGCCCTCGCAATTTACCCATTCCTCCAGTCTGTTCTTTATAATCTGCATTACCAACCTGTAAATAACCGGTGTCACGTGTTTCGAAGTCGCGGCGCCCTCTCCCGACAGCAATGCTGCTCTGAACCAGGGGCGGATCTACGGGTCGGGGAGGGGGGGGGGGGGGGGGGGGGGGGGGGGTTTGCTGAGATATGATGTTACAGCCGCGACGTTGCCCGTATCTATTTCGTTGACCCAATATTTCCTGTCACCAAACTGAACTGTTTTGCCAATATATACCGTTATTTTTTTTTTCATTTAAAAAAATTTGACTGGGATTATGCGACTGAATCTGCAGCTTACGGCGTGACAAAAGCTCGCTAATATTGCATAAAAAATCTATCAATCTAAATCGTGTTCTACGGGTACCCAATACTCGTCATTTCTCCGCCTTCAACACGCGCTTTGGCTGAGCGTGGGACAAAGTACTATCGAGGGCAGAAAGCTCGTACTCGAGGTCGAACATCTGTTGGGTTAACTTAACCTGTCACCGACTGTAGAAACCTGTTTCTTGTGGCTCTATATATCGTGCCTTCTTATCCAGGCTGACGTGCATATGCAAGGCAGCGCCTCAGATTTCGTTAAAACCCCCGATATAGGCAGTGCCATATACTTGTTCCGGTGCAAATAAGAGAGAGCACGGCGGGTGAACCGATCACCCGTTCGTGTAGAGTGAGAACCATTCCTACTCAATATCGTTGGACGGTCCCTTGAAAACAGAATATGGCGATACGTCTCTCCGTAATACGATAATAGCAGACGGACTGGTTTTACGTGAAGGGCACGTTCAGAGCAGACAGAGTTAACACGAACAAAAGACCGCCAATTTTGCAGCTAAGGGGGTATATATGGGCATAGAAATCGCACGCTTCTCCGAAGTAATGTTTTTTGTTCAATTCTCTCTCCGAGTAAAACTGCAAATATGAAATATCACCGCGTGTTCGTGCCTCCTGTGGCGCGCGGGGTAGTATACGTCACTGATCAGTGTGCGAAGTGTTTAAATTACCGCGTCTTCGAGGGCCTACGTATAATGCAACGAGGTAGAGGATCTTGGAGCGTGACCGTACCAAATCTTGAGGCTCTTAGGAAAACGGAGCCGAGATTTGTATTGCGATCACTGTAAAAAAAACACGATCAACTATATTTAAATACTGTTAGCCCCAGAGACCAGTGTCTAGCTCCAATAAAAAAAAAAAAAAAAAAAAAAAACAATATTGCAACGCGGTTGACAGCATCTATCGAAGCCACTGCGAGCTGCCCGAGTTTTTGTCGTAAAAGCACATTTTTGACTTACAACAGACGAAATATACGTTATCTCGTCGGTACCGTTAGTAAAGCTCAATAAGCAATTATCTGTGCGCGGTACCTCATTAAAATCTAGACGTAAAACTATAAGGTCGCGTGTCTAGTGCTCAAAAATGTGCAACATGGCGGCGGCCGGTTGGGGGGTCACTTTCAGCTGCCAGTTTATCGCTCTAAGCCCCTCTACTTTGTTGACGTAATATCATATTAAGGCTTAGTTCACAAGACGTGGCACAGTTCTGTAAGCGGACAACTTATCATTTCCAACTTAACTCAACATTTTCCTTCTTTTTTTTTCTTTGCGTGTTTTACATACGGTCGGAAACGACGACTACACCCCCATCGCATATCCCGCTCAGCCCGTGCCCGGGCGTACGCTCTCCGAATACAGATTGCATCGAACGCTCGTCTCGTTTATCACCGCGCTGTCCCATGACGACGCATGCTCCGTAGCCTGTAACCTATACCGCGGCGCCGTCAGACAACTCAAGACGACGTAGCACCGTGCCCGATGATGACTCTGCTATCGAAAGTGCGACCGTGCATGTCATCGGGGAGGGAACTCGAGTGTGTGTTGTAGAGCGTCAGCAGCCGGCAGCCGCATAGCAGCGGCGACGGAGCGCGTGTTGCGCCGTTGCGCGCCGCCGACAGCGGCGGTGTACCGCTGCGCATCTTGGTCATTTTGTCACGCGGGGAGGCCAGGATCGAGACATGCGACCCCGGAACGCGGGCGAAGCGCACAAGCTCGTCCATGTGCTAGACCGCATCTACGTTACTCCAGAACGCGTGCAGAAACGGTGAGTGGGCATGCCTGTGTGGACAGACGCTGTCGAAGTATACAGTAGTTCACGACTCTACGGGTAGACACAGAGGGAGAGGAGGAGAGCGCGTTGCGATATACGAGCGCCGAGCTCGGGTGGGAATGATTAGTGGGTAGGCGCAAAGCTTTGTCTATACACTGTTCGAACAGTGAGTATAAGAAGAAAAAGGCAGCTAGCTTTGCATCTAACCACTAAGCGTTTGAACAGTAAGGGCAGCTATATCCCGCTTTCATCTCTTCCTGTTTCTACCCGTATAGTATAGCCACTGGCAAAATGTAAGGGAGCAGCTTCAGCTTTCCCTCCCCGAGCTTCCCTTCGGCGTCTCTTGCACCTCGGAAGGCATACGGACCACGATGGAAGCACGGTGGAAGACGCATACGGAGCGTGTGCTGGAGGCCGGAGCGTGTGCTGGAAGCCGGGGCGTTCGAAAAAAAAATATATCCTGCCGTTCTCATTCTGTCTAGGTCCCTTCTTAGCGCCGGACAGGGCGCTAAGAAGACGGATATTGTTAATGAAGTTTGGCAACACGACCACCCCACAGCCAATTGGAGCGTGACATTAGGGAATAGCAGCGCCGACGGACCAATCGCGAAGCTTGAACGTAAAAATAAGCCACGCCCGCGGCGACTGTTGTAAAAATAGACTGAAGGCTACTTCGAGAGTAATTGCCATATTTTTTTTATTATTTTCCTGGTTCTCGTGACTATGGGGACTACATACCCTATTTTCCGGTGCGGACTATAGTCCGGAAGATATGGTACTCGTTCGTGCTGCTTATATTTGTACTACGATGAATCGGATTTATTTGATGTATGCTTATTTATCATGGTATATTGTTTCTCGTCGTGTACATGACCGAAACAAGGGGAAAGGTGCGCGCGACATTTTGAAGTAAAATCTTGCCTAGGAAAGTGATTCATATATATGACCCCGGAAGTGATGATTACTAGTATTTTGATTGCCTCAGAAAGTTAATAAATTTGCCTGCCGCGTGGCTCATCAACAGAAAAATATCTAAAGACTACACACGATGTTAATTGCTCGTATCATTACTCGATATGCGCGGAGCACGAGCCTGAACGCCTGTTGCATTAGCAGTGCCACAGTGGAAACTTTTAGCAAACCGTTACCGCGTACCGCACTACCGGAGCCTTTGAAACATACTTTAAAGCATGCTTCAAAGGCTCCGGTAGTGCGGTACGCGGAACACGGTAACGGTTTGCTAAAAGTCCCCATTGTCGCGTTTGCACGTCCTTCCGATTTATTGATAGTGAAAACAACAACAACAAAACCCAAGCGCTTTACGTGTGTGGCACGGAACCGAGCTGTCAAAAAAACGGGCGCTTCTCAATTGAGTTTTAGTCGCTTCACTTTCGAACTAGTGTAATGCGATCACTACTTCTACCCGCCGTTTATGCCTACTGTGTGTAGCGTCGTATTTAGAATTGAATTATGGCCATGCGTATCTGACTTTCCAGGATTGATACATGATCGGCTTATATAATCTATGATCGCTACTGTGATTGGGTGCTCTGGAGAACTCTGGGCAACGTATAATATCCACTGATGTTGTAGGAATAGACCCCATTCGAAAGTCTAGCAGACTGTTGGAAGCTGCGGAATCTGCGCAGTGGTGGACAAGCAAACACGCTCACGATCTAAAACCGCTACGTCATGGCGCGCGCGCCTCTCGTAAGTTTTGTTGGTTTACAAGGCAATGACCGACCAGCAGAAAGTGATGACCGCAGCGACGTTGCACTTTCGCCGCTGTTGGATTGAATTGTCGGCTCCTGTAGCGTTGACTATACACTCCGACGTGTGTAATGACTTGCATGTTCCGCGGTGTCGGTTGCTTCCCCGTTGTCCAGTGGTTCCGACTAGTCAGTTGCGACCTTTTAACGATCCGCACCAAGTTTCGTCGGTGCTGTGGCCGATGGAAGTTTCTAACGTTTGCCACACCGAAGCTTGCATATCATGGGTTACTCACATATCTAAATCCACATAAAACTGCAGTGGTTTCTTTAAAAAAAAATTTTTTTTTTGCGCTTTGATTAGTTTGTTGTGACGAGGCACTTCCTAGATTGCAGGCGCTACGAGGCAGCTGCAGCTATACGATTTCAGACGCAGACGCTTCCACCGAGATAGCTGCCGGTGCAACTGGAGCCGGTACTGGTCGTAGTCGACGACATCTCCGATTTTTTTTTTTGTTTAATTAGAACATTGCTCGGGAGTGCGGCGTCGTGACGATTGCGCCACCGTACCGTCATCGGCGTTACAGCTTTGCCCGCTTTTGGGTATACGTTACTAGCATTTTTCGACAGCCTTGTGACGAGTTGTGCGATTGCTGATTATAGTTTCTCTCTCTGTCTCTGTGTGTCGTTGCAGGCATAGTCGGCACGAGTACCGCGCCCGGTAAGTAGATCAACTAGAATGTGATGGTTTTTTTCGGGCCGCCTTTTAACCTTTTTCGTTTCCGTTTCTGCTTGATAGCATCCGTTTTGGTCTGTTCGGTTCGGTGATTTGTCTCTTGGTTTTGAATTCTGTCTTTGAAAACAACTTTTCCTTTGGCTTGGTTCCTCCTTTCGGCGATGCCCGTTCTCGTTTGGTTCGGTTTTTTTTTCTCCAGTTCTCCCTGCAAGCTCTGCCTTGTCTTTCGTTTCCATTGTTGTGCCGATTAATGGGTTGTTTTTTGGTATCCCGCACTTTGTACTTACGGTGTGTGCTCGTTACACTTATTGTTTTCTTGAAATTGGAGTTGCATTTTGGTGCACTGATCAAGAGTGTCTTTCACTGTTCTACATCACATGTTATTCGCAAAAAGTGGGAAACTGTATACGGTATTCTTCCGATTTTGCAAGGACTTCATGTGCCAAGGAGTTCCTGTACTTAAACGTCCTAATAAGCCGCAATCGTTCTATTTTTTTACTCGACAACAACAAGTGGTACTAGGGAAAAAAAAAAAAAAAAAAAAACTGTACGGTGCTCGGGTTTCTAATAATACCGGCCCGCCGCTTCAAAGCGGCCTGCGCTGACTGGGCGCGAGCTCCCCTTTTCATGCCGGGAACGACTGGGCCGATAACCGTCTGCTCGCACCCGAAAGCAGACAACACAAAGCCGCGCGGGGCGAATGTAGAAAGATTCTGAAATACCCACTAGACGGCGCGTGAAACAGAAAAACGCAGGAAAAACGAGACTCGCGCGGCCATCTCGACTGTTTTCTGTCGTCTGCCGACGAAAGGTTTCTTCTAAGTGGGCCGAACGAAGCGCGGGAATCAGACCGCAGCAACCTATCCATTGTTGCTGTTCCGCTCCACCATGTTTTCTTTCGCCTTTATTGTTTTCTCGCAAGGCACCATGACCCGGCTTGCACGTGTTTCCAGCGAAACAAGAACAACACCGACGCGAATTCGGCATGATGGACTAACCGAATTCGGAACTGAAGTCGATGAAACCAATAAAAATGCTAGTAGTGAAGGGATGAATGAAGGGTTGTTGCTTGACCCTTTGAATCGGGCAGTAGTTTGCACCACCTAGGTTTATTTTTTGGGTATTAAGGTATTTGGGTTGCAGAGTGTATCTGTGTCGCCTCGGGCCCTCTGGCACAAAGGAGCCGATTGCTTATGCCGCCTACGCAGTTCGCCTTTCTGGCTTTGTCCGCTCACACTTATGCGCGGTTTATATCTCGCATGGAGCGGGCAGTCAGCAGTTCTTTGGCATCAGTCGCTGACGCTGCTGGGAAGAAGCATTTGCATTTGAGGTTATCGCCTCGCGCGGCGTCCCGCTTGTTCCTCCTTTTGTTCCAGTGGTCGAACGCGAAGAGGCGGACTGCGCGTTCGACGTACCAGCAGCATAGGCCTGTAGCTCACACTGTCAAGTCTTGACCAGCGCCGCTGGCGTGCAAAATCGATATTTTCAGGTCACGTTTTTATCGTGGGTTACCATGTTAACCCGCGGTGATATAAATTTGTAAAATTAAACAAGCACACGGAAGTTTGAGGGAAAGTATTATAGTGTTTTGATAGGACGCCGAAGACGCGATTAACACTGTTTTTGTTGCGTCTTCGGCGTCCTATCAAAACACTATAATATTTTCCCTCCAACTTCCGTGTGCTTGTTAAAATTTCATGCCGCATACTGTTCACACTGTGCATTCTTAAAACTTTGATTCATTGGATTAAGTACGATTTATTCATCTGCATTTGTTCGTTCATATATATATATTAATATAATTTTGTTAACGCTTTGTTAGCGCATGCGGTCGTACTATGAGACCCGATTAAATGGTCGCGTCTTGCGGACGCTACAGCGCCCTCTGGCCCAGAGAAACAGGCCTAAATGGGTAGAAAATGAGGTGAGGGTACGATCTCGAAGAGGAGATGTTTCGCTTGTGACGGCTATGGCGACGCGTGCGGAAGATACACCCATCTTTTTTTTAATGGGCCCCAAATTGAGCGACGGGTGTTTGCGATTCCATTGCGATTCGGGCCCGCCTGCAAGACGTGGCCTTTTTATTTCCATGTTTTGAGCCTACATGTGGTTCTCTGCTGCCTTCGCGATTTGATCGGAGGAAAAAAGCCTTTTGGATAACGTATGCGCATAAATATTCTCGGGGCTCAAGCGTTCCGCTATGCGGTATTTATTCGTAGACAGAATGTATATGTTAGAACGCTTTTTTCTTTTTTTTTTTCTCTGCACATGCGCATGGAAAAGTAGGTCAAGCGTACTATAGGGTGCGTGCTCATCAAGTGACGTGTATTTTCTTTTTAGGGGCGTGGTTGCATCGTTTGAAATCTGCCTTTTGACGGATTAATTTGGAAGTCTAGATATTCAATGTGTTTTTAACCGCGTGGAGGCTTGCCACGCATATGATTTAAAAGATTATGCACTAAGGGATGACGCCATATTCTGAAAGTGACGACGCGCGCTTTAGATGGTCATGTTTTAATATTTCGTGGTGTTTATATATAGAGTTAAAAACTGGTTTCAATTGGACCTTTCAGATTCCCTCAAGGAGGGTATTACAGAAGGTTTTAACACTCGCGTTTTTTTACAATAAGAAAACAAGAACAATAGGAATAAAATGAGACGAGAAAGTATACATGGTTAAACTGAAATCAATCAAGAAGTGAAATATTACTTCTTTTTTTTTTTTTTTTTTCTTTTTTTAATTATGAGGCATGGCTTCGCTCAGTTTCTTTGAAGTGAAGAAGTTCGGATATGGAAACGATGTTGTGGGGAAAGTAATTCCATTCCTTCGCTGCGCGTGGGGAAATGAAGCAGTCGAGGTCACTGTTCTAGTTTTGGTGCGCATTAAGTGATCACCAGTACGATAAGGAGTTCGTGCAGACGGCAGTGTGTACTGTGAATTTGGCTGGAAATCGTATAGAATTTGTGAAAGAGTGTTAGTGTAAAATATTTTCGGCAAAGTGATAGGTTATCTAGTTCAGCACGTTCCTCTAGGCCGGTGACACTTATTTCATATGAATAGCGAGAAATAATTAACCTGACTGCACGATTTTGAACTGCTTCTAATTGATGGCTGAGGTAATTTTGGAATGGGTCCCATATAGCGGCGTTGGGCAAATGCTTTATAGGCGGTAAGTCTTAAGTTTAATGGTGCGAATTTGAGGGGACGTTTTAGTTGTCAGATTGATCGGTTAGACTCGGAGATGACATGGTTAACATGTAGTGCCCAAGATAGGTTGCTAGAGAAGTGTACACCTAGGTATTCATACCTTAGTGCTGATGGAATTATGGTTTCATTGATAGAGTAGTTGTAGGTGAGTGGGTTAGAGCGCCGATGAGAGGAAACTAATGTACACTTACTAATGTTTAATGACATTTGTCACAAATCGCACCACGTTTGAACACTATTGAGATCATTTTGAAGTGATACTTGGTCACTTTGATCAGTAATATTACGATACACGACACAATCGTCGGAAAATGGGCGGATGTTGCGTGGGTGTGTATACGCGTCAATTCACCAGGAAATCAGTCTGCCTTGAAATTGCACCGCACGAGTCCTACGCTTATACAGGGTGTTTCTCGAAAGGTGGACAAATTCGACATTGCAAAAACTACGCTTCGCAAAATGTTTTGGTTCTGGGCCAGGGGCCTATTTATAAAAAAAAAAATATATTAAAGTACGGTATAATTAGATTGTTAATTATTTTTGCGTAATCAACTTTTTTAATGTTGTGTTTAAGGGCATGGTTTCAATTAGAAAATTGCTCAGCATCATCAGAAAACACTAAATTAACAAATTGCAGAAGAATGGAAGGCACGCGCGGTATTTTACAGCTTTCTGAAAAACCGCACAATTTCGACGGGTTTTTAGGTTTCGGTTTGCAATCGGAGCGCTTCTCGGCACCAACGGCACCGCACCCCTTGGAGAAATAGTTCAACCAACCTCTGCTGCGCTGTCCTCACGCAACGCAGCAGAGGCTGGTTTCGCCCACACCTGGCTAGAAAGAGTGGGTGTAGTCCGTCCAGCGGGAAATACGTGGTCGTTTTCTCCCGTTTCGTTTCTCGGTAGCGGGACTTCTCCGAACACAAAACGAGAAATGAGGAGAAATTGCAATTGTTTCTAACGTCTATTTTGACCTCGTTATCTATGGTGCCACTAGTGCCAAGTGATAACACACACAAAAATTTAATCTCGGGTACATCTGGTTAATGACGGTACGATTCAAGCCACCGTCGTATTTTGTGGAAAGCGGCTTGTAATTTTACTCCATATTGCTCGACTATACGCTCTGTGGTATATTAAAAAAAAAAAAAAAAAAAAAAAAAAAATTTTGTGTTTAATGGAATACACACAAAAAAAAAAACACAAAAGTACTTCGGCCCACTAAGGGCTTGCTATTTTAGGTTGTCAGCAAAGAAAGCCTACATGGATCCATATAAGCGCTGCCCACTAACGGCTTGCAATTGCTAGATATTTTAGGTTGTCGTAAGCAAAGAAAGCCTAGAGGGATCCATACACGCGCTGGCCCGGAAGGGTTTCAAACATTGCCGTAACAATTTATTTCGATAACCTTCGCTTTGTCGACGCAACGCTTCAACGAGGCCGCCAACACAAACGTGTCGAAAACAGACGTGTCTTCGGTATAAATGGTCTGCAACTCCTGACACACGTAGGCGGTCGCAATTGTCATTAGGCGTGTGCACGCCCTGGTGGCAGTGGGACGTAAAAAAAAAAAAAACGTTGTGACATTGGTTACCTTTTTCTGAACCGGGGGATCGGTGACTGAGTATGTCAACATCACAGCAGCATCCTACCGCGGCGTGCGGTCGTGTATCGCTACTGCGTCGTGCACGTTAAAGGGATACTGAACCGAAATTTGGATTTCGCAAAGTAAGGCTGCAGAAGTGTTGAACGGGACGCTATGAACTCCAAAACATCACTCGTACATCGATATCTCAAACGGATGGCCGTACTTTTGGAAAAGAAGGGTGCGATCAAGCGAGTTCTTTGACGTAACTGTCCTCCGGGAGAATGTGAGAATGAGGAGAAGCGGCCTCGCTTCTCTCCTCCTCGCTTCGGTTCTCCAGCTTGACGGGATGTAGCGAGGAGGAGAGAGAATGGGAATCGTGACGTGCCTTGTCCCGTCGGCCTCGTCGGCCGGGTTCAATCGCCGCACTTCTTTTCCAAAAAATGCGGCGATCCGTTAGATATATCGCCGTATGAATTATATTTCTTGGTTTTGCAGCTTCCCGCCTATCCGCCCGGCCTTGTTTTGTGAACTCGAATTTTCGGTTCAGTATCCCTTTAAAGACCTTTAAGCAGTGGTGTACTGCACTGGCTAAATTTCTCGTCTACGGCTGAGACAGCAGACGCCCGTTGAGGCTCACTAACTTCCCGCTGTATAAACATAAACACAGCACAGAAATTACCACACGGCCAGATTTTTTTTTTTTTTTTCTGAATTATATGGCATTTTGCCGGTCGCGATTTTACATGACAGAGAGGCGAGCACAACCATCGCTTGTGCTCGGCAATCCTTTTCATTTAGTCGCCTCGGATCCCGTATAAATTTGCGCGCTGTAGGAGTTCGTAGTTTTCGAATGTCCCTTAACCGTGCAGACACTTGTGCAGCAAAAGCGCCTACTAAAGCTCTGAAGTCCGGGTCAATATGACTTAGGTCCGGCTACAGATAAAGGGCAGCTCTAAGTCAGCGCTATAAACGGAGCTCGCTGCATCAACGCTCCACTGCAACTCTGTTTATGCACAGAATGCAGCGCCAAGTCGGTGCTCAATCATCACTGACACTGGTGCTGATGCAGCGCTGACTTGGTTTTATCTCGGCGCTGCCTCGTCTCACTAGCATTCGATGCATTGTCTCGCATCGACTCAGCGTTGCGCTTCGTCTCGAACAACAAACTCGCAAGGCGTCCGTTCAATCCCTTCTGAAATCTAGGCTCTCGCAAGTTAAGTCTGTAAAGGGAGTTGTGCCCCCTTGGACAACACGAGCTGCAAGACCCAATCCGGCTTTTTTTGTGCGTCTGACTACAGTTCAAAGAATGGGACCCATGCAAAACGCATGTTCGTTCGCTTTTTTTTTGGCAGGGGTCGTGATGACGTCAGAACGCTGAGCTATGATTGACTCTGATTGGAGGAAGGTGGGTGAGCCTCAAAGCAGCTGCCTCGAGGTCTACCCGCTAACCTTCGATGAGAGCCTATCACAGCTCGGCGTTCTGACGTCACCACAACCCCCGCAAAAAAAAAAAAAAAAAGCAGACGAACTTGCGCTCCGCCTGGGCTTCGCGTATCCATCAAACAATCTGGACCAAAGCTTTCTTTTTTATTATTTTTTTTTATTTTAGAAACCTGCAGTTACGCCAAAAATGGATGAGGACAGTCGCCGCTCGGATTGTCCGCGATAGTACGTATGCGAGAGTTCAACGTGCCCTAGCTGCGGTCACTTACAAAAACGTCTGGAGACACTGTCTGAGGCATGTTTATTTCTTGTATGACGGTCGGAATTCTGTTGCAGACATGTTCGAAACATGAAGCAAACATGCGTGAGGAGTAGATAATTCTGTCGGCATATCTCTAGCGAACACCGTGTTATACCCTCTAAGAGCAGTATACGTGACTGCGACTTTCGAACGCTCTCACGGTTACCGAAGGAAATGTAAGGATGGGCGTTGACCATCGCCTCTTTGCCTCGATCGTTGCCAGGAAGCAGCAGCAGCAGTCGAACAACAACAGCAGCGGTCAGCGCGAAGCCGCGGGCGGCGGCGGCGGGCCCGAGTCAGCCACGGCGTCGGCAGCGATGAAGGCCCTCTTCTACCTCCTGCTCCTGCTGGCGGAGGTGCTCCTCTTCGGGACCATCACCCTGACCATCTACTGGATCTTCAACTACCAGGGAGGGGTGGCGTGGGCCAACGACACGAGGAAGCAGTTCAACCTCCACTACATCCTCATGGTCGGCGGATTCATCTTCCTCAATGGACACGGTAACTCGACTCTATATGACGTATCGCGCACGTGCGATGGCGCTGCTGTCGGCACAGCGCATGCGCGGGACCTCGCTCGAGCCTGGTTTCCGCGCACGCGCAGTTCCTCCCCACGCAGACATGTACAAGTTACTCAAAAAAAGTAATCAAGTTACCGAGTATTGACGTCAAAAGTAATTTGAGTAGAGTAGAAATTGCTAAAAAAAAAAGCAATTGAGAAAATTACTAATGACCTTAAAAAAGTAGCGAATTTCTTTTGAAGTTACTTTTATATGTTTTTTATGGTAAAAATAAAGTACAGAGGTTTTGATCCGTTAGCAAAATTGTGCTAGCCAAATATGAATCGGCTTGTTTTTTCACAGAAATGCTTTAACAGCTAGTTCTGCTTTTGCGTGCTTAATTGTTTTGTTCTTTCTTGTTTGTTTGGTCAGTGATGTACTGCGACTGTGTCATTTGTACTTTGAGGTTTAGCACTGTCTGAGCTCGATTTTTAGACAGTGTTTGCTTGTTTACAGTACTGCGTAAAGTACGTCTAAAAAGTACTTGAAGTAAAGTACAAAGTAAATGAAAGGTTCTGTACTTCAAGTAAAGTAGTAAGTACATACTTGAAGTAACGTATATAAATACAGTATATTTCAAGGTAAAGTACAAGCACTTTTAACAGAATCTTTTATGATGCCCTTTCATTCCCTATAAAGTGTTTTTAACTGGCATGCATTGCTCCAAGGGTAATCGGAGGTGCATCAGTTTTTTACGGAAATGGCAGCACATATTGCATAAGGTCAAGTCGCCGCAGAGTAGTTGTTCTACTCTCGCTGTCGAGCTATTTAACACAATCAACTTGTAAGGCACTTATTTCCATCGGTCTTACAGCCGCCATTACTTCACTCAGAGAAATGAGCCGATGACGTCTCGAAAGAGCGCGTTTTCACACGACGATACCGCCATTTTTTTGTTTCCAAATTCGGGGAATGTACATTGAAGTCAGGAGTTTTACTTTCTCGGAAAATGCAAGTACATGTTTAGAGAATTTACTTCAAGTAAAGTACAATTTTTCTGAGCAGTAGTACTGTAAGTACCATGTACATAGAGTACGTCCCAACACCGTTTGTTTATTATATTTATATAAAAACGTTGGTGGAATTACTACAGGTTTCTTGAACGATCTTTGAATCTTTGAAGATCTGCATATTCTGAGTTTTGGGAGTAAAGGCAACGCAAAAAGATAATCTTTGCGTTGCCCTTTAGCACGCGATTCTTCGAGTATATCACAAACTACGGAAGCACAAGATGAGTTTCACAGCAGGTGCTGCATTTTGTTGCCTCCTTTGAGTGAGGATGCAGTGCGTGCACCTCCTGTAGTGGGCGAGAGTTTCTACGTTGGGGAGAAGCGGGGACCAGTCTTTTCTTCAAAAGGGTCGAGTCTCCTTGACCTTCGGGACACACAGAATCGCCAGTCTTCGGCTCTAATCCCGCAGTTACTCGACCTCTCTTGCGTCGTGTCTGTTCGCTCCGCGCGCCTCGTAGCAGTGTTGTTGCAGTAGGGGCGGGGGGTTCGGATTTTCCAAAGCATTCCCCCCCCCCCCCCCCTTTCCTACGCCACATGCTTCCCCCTCTTTGCAAATATCAGCTGATCTTCGAACAGCTTATCTCCTTTCTGCAGGAATGTTTGTTTATAGGCTAAACAACCCCTAAAATTCGAAAGTAATTCGTAACTTGAGTAGAAGTTACTCAAAAAAAGTAATTAAGGTAAACTACTAATTACCGAAATAAAAATGTAATTGAAAGTTACTAAACTACTCGGGAAAGTAGTTAAACTATTCTAACTTGACTAGAGTAGTTGAACTACGTACAAGTCTACCCCCACGCCATGGTGTGGGCAAAACGGGACCGGCGTGTTCCGCCTGTTGTATACACACTTCCTTCTATACACTCGGGCACTATCACCACCTCGTAGATAAGAAAGCCTTAGCGCTGGATTTTTCTGCGTCCTTCTGTGTATACCAAGCTGTCCCCGCTTTGGTCTTCTTTATATGGCGCTAAAAATTCAGGTGCTCTCTCTGCTATTAGGAGGCGTTGGACGAATCCGGCACTGGCACGCTGCGAGTGGCGAATCCTTCCGATCGGTTGATGGAGCTTTAGGGAACCGTGTTTGCAGATCGGCGTCGGATGTGCAAAACCGGTTCCCTAAAATGCTAATAATGCGAGCTGTTCGTATTTGTCGCCCACATCAACTTTGGCGGAATTAAAAAATGCGGCGACCTCAGGGTCACCGCAGGAGTTACATTCGTGTGCTGCTGTTCCGTTGTAGAGCTTTGTAGACCTCTGTACGCATTGAACGATAGATGGATCAGTGGAAGAATGTAAGCCTGTTGTCGGTTTGCCTTGCCGCGTACCCGACCCGGAGGAGTAACACGGAACCCATTGGTTTCATGCGATTATATATACTACATTTAATGGGACATGGATGGAAAAAGAACGTATTCTTGCCGCGGATAAAAGACAAAAAAAAAAAAAAAAAAGCGCGGGCGCGTTTTCGCAGGGCTTGCGCCTGTTGCACGAGGGCCAACTTTGGCGCACCACTGCGCTTTTCCACGCGCCCGAACTCTTTCGAAAATTAACTTATTTGGTGGTTTTCGATGACTGAACAAGTGTCCGATTGGGCCCATATATTTATCTTCAATAATTAAAAAAAGCTAATTCGCAATTTTTAGTTAATGAACAGACGTATCGTGCCGATTATCCTCCATATAATGCCCCCCTCGCCTCTAAAGGCCGAATTTGTAGCTTTTACGGCTTTACTAAACCAAATCTGTAAGTCTTAAAAAAAAGAAAAAAAGTATTATGGCATTTTATTACGCTGTCTAACGTCTATAGGCGATGACAGGTTAAGAACTGAGTAGATGCTCCGCCTCGAACCCAAGCTTTGTATCTTTGATAAGACTTCCTTGAACGCGCAGCCAAAGCGCGCTGCATGAGGCAACGAGCACGTGCTGGAGACGGACTTTGTACTGGGTTCTCAACCTGTCACCGACTATGGTATTATCTTCAAATAACAACCCTCTGGAAAATTAGCTGGATGGGACTCTTCATTTATCGTTCTAAATCATTAAAAAGAAAAAAAAAATCCGGAAGTAATTTTGCGGGGCATTGGAGGATGACGTGCCATTATTTCGCGTGGGGCTTACTAAGCGCGTGGTCTCTGGGTCTTTCTTTTCAGCAATGTTAGTGTACCGCAGCTTCACGTGCTGCAAGAAGATCTACAACAAGGTGCTGCACACCATCTTCTTCGTGCTGTCCATCTCGGCCATCACCATCGGCATCGTGTCAGCCTTCCAGGCGCACAACAACGTGGCCGACCCCAGGCACTTCTATTCCCTCCACTCGTGGATCGGCCTAGGCACCATGGGCCTCTTCGCTCTTCAGGTGGGGATCGCCTTTTGCCGCACCTTTTCGAGGGTGGAAGCGATCTGAAAGGGTGTTTCCCAACGCTTTTGGGGTGTCAAAAAGATTAATATAAATGAGCCAATGAACGGAGTGCGACGAAACTTTTCACAAATAGGTTCTTAGGATTCGCTGGCGGCCATAGATGTGTGCGCGGCTGCTGAGCGCGTGCTTACGGCGAGCTTCCCTAGTTCCTTTGCATCGTGCGTTCCGCATCATCAAGATTGCCGGTCTTAGCAGGCTATTAATCTGAGCTCGTTCTGAGCATCCGCTCTAGACATCGCCCTCAAATACGGCCTCCAGTGAGTACCTTCTATAATAAAATTGTGTAAGTATAGGGTGTCTGGAATGCCGAGGCTCGATCTAAAATGTTCCGCAAAGATCGGCGCCTGCACATAGCAATCCAAACTTTTCATCAAAGTTGTATTTCACAGGTGGGTTTTACCTTGTAAAATTGCAAAGCGTAACTCCCTTTTTGTAAAAAAAAAAAAAAAAAAAAAATTGGGCCAGAAATTTTGCCAGGGTCAACGGCGGATGGCGACGCAGACAACAGAGTCGAGTGGCGGAGCGCGTTTTAATAGATGGCGTCGGGGAAAAAAAAAAAAAAAAAAGAATATATGTTGTCAATCGGCATCGTCCTGTGTGTTCCTCCTTCTTGTCCGTGTGGTATTCGCGCTGTTTTTAAAAATGAATTCTATTATCTTTTAAATACGTGACGAGCGGTCGTATAGTATCTTACCCTGGAAGAGTGTTTTACTCCTCAACACAAGGCTGCGGTGCGGCGAAGCCACATACACAAAATCGCGACTTTTACTCCGAGGGTGCAGCTTCTCTGTACCGCACCAGTGCGCGGTGAGAAGCGCACTCAACGGAGCTAATTAAACCGCCTGAACAGACCATAGACCATGAGATATCCCGAAACCTCCGAGTATGTGTCGTGTTCGATACGAAGATCATATCAAATCGCACGTTATTCAGAGCGATACGCAAAAGTGTTTAAAATTCGTGCAAGCTTACCGTAACAATCTGGCAGTGTAGCGACGACTGAACTATTTATTAGTTTCATCTAATGCAGGGGTCTCCAAACCTGCGCGCGGTCCTTCCAATGAAGCCTGCTTCGCGGCCGGCGCAAAATGTGCGCGAAATGGCGCCGCGACGCGCTCCAAATGCGCAAACGAAGATACACGAGAGAACCAGAGAAACTCCATCGTAATGCGGGTCCTTTCGCCATATTATTCATTGAACATTGTCATCACTAGCATCACCATTCTTGATCCCCTGCTGGCGGGCTGGCAGGCGCACTTTCGTACGGGTTCTAACCTTTCTGCACAGCCTTGCACGGTGCCCAGGATCACAATATGTATGCAAATGAATATTTTGTTATTACGTCTATTTTACTCGGTTAAATTGCCTTTTAGTTAACATGTACACTGTGCTTAGTGTCCTCTAGCTGTCATAACTATAGCAACTTTTCAGCATTAGTTTTATCATTCCTGAGTGTTTTTCAGCGCGCGAATAAATTGATTTATGCCTGAGGAGTTTTCTTGACCAGAACTGTCCTGTAATGTCATAATTAGTTAATAAATTTAAAATCTACCTTGCCTTAGTTTCCTTTTTTTAGTACTTTAACATTTAGTTCTGTATTTAAATGCTTAGATTTTTTTCTCGTTTATAATTTTTTTTTCCGGCCCTTGAGACTCCGGCAGGTACCTAATCTGGCCCCTCAGCCACAAAATTTGGAGACCCATAGTCTAATAGAAAAGATGGAACAGAAAGTAGACTAAACACAGACGCGCACGTTCTTTCAACTCGCAACGTTTATTTTCATGTACGACCGCTGTATTCACCAACGCTCTTTAGGGAGAGGGGGAAAAGGGGCTAGGGCGAACACGCTTGTCACAAATATTCATTTTGGTTTTGATAAAATGAAATGAGCTTTTAGCGCAGCGTTGGCAAAAATTACACTAATTTTAACGGAAATGGCGTTGCATTCAGCCCTTAAAAAGGCCCATAAAAAGAAAAAAAAGTTATTTTTTTAATAGTTTGGTTGGGACACGCACTACAAAAAAATAAACTTTACGCAAAAAAAAAAAAAAAAAAAAAAATTGGAGCCTATTGACGTTGCGAGATTTATTTGAAATTCTGCGCGCAAAGCCCATGACGTTACGGGTCATTCCGGAATGACCATCTCGGTCGTGAAGGCGAAGCCGATCCACCTCGCCTCCACGCACGCGAAATGCCGAGAGAGAAAACAAGTGGAACGAAGGTGACTGCCGACTAAATCGCGTCTTGCGCCGTCAATATTGCTCTGAAATTTTTTTCGCGTAAAATTTATTTGTTGACACGCGTGTCCCAACCAGACTGCTAAAAAAAAAAAAAAAAAAAAAAAAAAAAAAAAAAAAAAAAAAAAAACCATTTTTTTTTTTAGGGGTTTTTTAGTGAAAGGTTGAGAGTGACAGGTACAGTGCTCCCCAAACTTAACGCCGCCACTGGGTTCCCAAACATCGAGCTCGTGTCGGCTACTTACTGTTAAATTTGTCACCAAAACGTTCGGGATGACTTCTCAGGATGGGATAGAAATCGGGAACACGTACATCCTTCAAATAGTTCCATCGGCCGCCGCAGGGACGGTCAGAAACGGCAAATGCCGTGGCGGCGTTAGTTTGAGCCGCCCTGTACATTATTGCCGTCTCGATAGCTTACGGTCGGCGACTGCCCGTCATAGTACGGCACTCATCTATGTGTGACTGTGGGCGTTGAATACGGCGCTCATTTTGCGTCTAAGTTCAGATGACAAACATGGGCGAAACCTATTTCAAAGACCACTGCTTTTTCACAAATTGTATTAATTGATTTAGCCAATCAATTGGTTTCGCCCATTTAAATTGCAGAGCGACCCATTTAAATTGATAGGGCGATATTAGTTAATTAGACAACTGATCGTGATGGTTATCGCCCCGTCTAACGTCCACCGAGCCCGATAAACATGCGGAGGAGAGGTTTTAAAAGATTGTTCCGATAGCTCCGATAACGCAGAGTATCGGGCATCAATCGGACTTGTCAAAACAATCTACCAAAACTCTCCATTACCCATGCAATTGTCACTTAACATTTTTTTTTTTTCTCAATGTGTTCGAATTATACGAGTGTGGGGTTACGGGTACAGACACTTTTACGACGATCCTGGCACCGATAGATTGCTTTATCCAGTCGCGCATGTAAAAGAAAAAAGAGAACTATCCTTCAACAAAAACCGTCTGACAACCTCCTCAGAAGCCAAGTTAATGAAACTTGAAATAAAAAAAAGGTAGCGATATTCAAAACAATTTTATCTGCGAAAAAACAAAAAAACAAAACAAAAACAATTAGTAAGTTATAGAGCTGCAAAAAACACGTTTCACTACTGCCCAGCGCGCGCTCTCGTGAAGTGGCCGCGCTGCGCTGACATTGGCCGTGCAGCCGCTCCGGAGTCTGCCTGAGCTGGCTTCTGGGAGGCTCTGGGCCACCCCGCAGCCAGCCGCTTCCTTTTACTGGCGTGCTGCGACGGGGGCCCGCAGCGCCATGGGGTGGTATTCCTTGAAACTGACGCGCGCCGGCCAATGGGAGCCTATCCATCAGATTTCGGCTTCACTTCGCTCCTTTTAAAGAGGTGAATTTAGCTGCAGTTCTCCGTGGCTTTTTGCGTGGCTTCAAAGCTGGGGGCCTCCAGATAGTGGCTTCAATTTGGGGGAGAGGGGAGTTTAGCTGCCGTTTGGCGCGGCTTCCAAAGCTAATGACGTCGGGTCGCTCCATGGGACAGTTAATGCTTTCACATTAAAAATCCACTTAGAAAATACCAGCCATGCTCCCATAAAATTGGCCGAAAATCCCAATGTCCTAATACCTTCCCGGGTATTTTGTCACGGGCAAATAACCAAGTTCTGATTCACAGGTCGAAAGAGACAAAACGAAAGCCTGTCCCACTCTTGATGCCACCTTTCTTGTTTCTCTCTGTTGCAGTTTGTAGTGGGCTTCATTTCATTCCTGGTGCTGCTGTGCTGTGACAAGGCCACAGTGACCTACAGGCAGCGCCTGGTGCCCATCCACACCAACTTTGGACTGATCATCTTCGGCATGGCCGCCGCAACCTGTGTCACGGGTCTCATGCAGACGGCCACCTATAGGTTCAAGTGAGTACCCTCGGACAGTTCCCTTGACTGCAAAACACAGTATGCGAAAGGCAGAGACGTCCACATGCCAAAACATACCGTATTTACATATTTACAAAAGTAGGACATATTTAGTGGTTCTGCTGAGCACGTCTAATTGTTGACCTGTTCTGCTACAGTCAACCTCCCGTTGTGATGGTCGTAAAAATGACTCGCGAATCAGCAGATATGTTTGGCTTAGTTCTGATATGCATTAGACTGGATTACTCCAACAAGAATTGCTGCATACTACTTCATGCATTAGGTAAGATTGTTCTAACATGTTCTACAGAAAGCATTGGTCCATACTTCATGCATTAGGCCAGATTGTTCTGACAGGTTCTGCAGAAAGCCTGATAGGTATAATTCTCAGCCCATATTCTACAGTGACAGCCCAGAGAAAGTCGCACACCAGATACTCAGAAAGACAAGCACACGCGCCGAATATGGTTCACCAACTCACCTAAGCATCCATCCTATCAAGTTACATTTCTCAGCCCAATTCATTCAGACATATTTGCAATGGGCACTATGCAAAACAGCAGCGCCCCTAGTGGTTCAGGTGCACTCTGGGAGCCAGACACTGTCAACAGGTGGTTTCGGTTTTGCCGGGTTGTGCATCTGTCGTCTGCTATTGTTTCCGCAATGTCATTGCTCACGTCGTCGTGGATCGCTCCACACTTACGCGCGATGCAGTAAGTACCCCCTTCTCGTCGCTACATATTAGACACGGCGAATAACGAAACAATTACGATTTTGCTGTCACGGAGTGAGCGCAATTGCCGCAACGGCGAAGCCAAGTGAATGCAGGTTGACGTATGCCAAACACCGTGCCGGCTCTCTGCGTGCATTTGCTTGCAACCTCGAGAAGAGCCATGGAGACTAGTACTCCAGTTTTATAACACCCTTGCTTCACCGATCGCTACTTTCAGTCAGGCCAACGCGGTACATGATGAACCTCGCTGTACGAGAATGCGTTGAAGCGCAAATATGCACCTCTCGCTACGTTGCTGTGAGGAAATTGACCATCAAGGCCCGTTCACACTCTTGCGACTGAGTACGACTGAGAGAGACGAGATCTCTTACAACTTCTTAAATGTTTCTAGAATGAGGGGACACACTGACATTGTGGCGCCATCTATGCGGTGACCCAAGAACTGCATTTCACAAAAGCGAAGGTTTTGCAGGATTTCGGAGGTCAAATGTGCGTAATACCCATAGAAAGGCTCGTTTATAACATTGACAAAAGTTTTTCGAGCCAAAAAAGACTGGATATTGCGCAAGAAATAAAAAAAAAATATCCCGGACCGCCGAGTTTACACTGCTTCCCAATAGATGGCGCCAGTGTGTTCTCTGGTTTAAGAAGTTTTAAGGAACCCAGGTTTAAGAGGTCGCAAGCAGTCGCAAGAGTGTGAACGGGCCTTTAGAACGATCAAAACACTGTTGCGGTGTTGGTGTGCCCATATCGTTGAATGTACAGGTTCCTTAGGCATTCATCTTTTACAGTGTTGGGTAGAGCACATCTAAAATGTACAGTGTGCTGCAATATGAAAGACCCACTCTGAGCGTGCGGCCGAGCGCTTCGAGTGGGTCTTTCATATTGCAGTGCACTGTACTTGATGTAAAGTACCTTTAAATGAGAGTTTATGTACTTCAAGTAAAGTGTGCAATGTACTTGAAGTGAAGTATGATAAATACAAGATACTTTCAGTGTAAGTATGAGTACTTTTTAGCAGAATATTCAATGATGCCCTTTCATTCCCCTGTAGTGTTTGTTTTCTTTTTCAACTAATATACATTGCCCTTGGAGTAATCGGGGGTGCAACAGTTTTTTCCAGGAATGGCGGCATATATTGCATGGCCAGAGTAATTATTTTCAGAAATGGCGCCAAATTCAGAAGTCCCCCAGACTTCTGAATTTGGCGTGGCTTGCACTGGCTGGCACCCAAAGGGGGTTGTTAAACATGCTAAGAGAGAATGTCAGCCACGTAGCTTTTGCAAGAAATCCTTTTAACCTCCTCGCTTGCACTGACCGATCGAGAAGTAGAGTTCAAAATGTTGTGGGAAAGGAGCCCCAGTACAAACAGAGCAATGCGTTGTTTGCAGTCTTGTACATATTACTTCGAAAACATAATTGAATAGAATAGATCTTGGATTTCTCTACAGCATTTGACTGCGTTCCTCATTGCCGACTACTCACTAAGTTCTCCTTACTCCAGATATACTCCCTCACACTCCTCGATACGCATCTTTCTAACACTATGCTGCCAATACGCAGTTTGCAAGAACTGCCAGTTCAACATGTCGGACGTGATCTCTGTCATACCACAAGGCACTGAGCTGGGCCCTCTTCTCTTCTTAATATACATAGACTTACCTCGCTCTATTTCTTCCAAAGTTTGCCTCTTTGTGGATGACTGCGTTATTTATGGGCAAATTACTAATCCCGACGATCACCTTGTACTACAACAAGGCCTTAACTCCATTAATAGTTGGTGCGACAAGTGGCTTATGTCCCTAAATAGTTCAAAACGCAAGCTAGTAACGTCAGTTGAAAACAGTCACTATCATCGTATTCATATCTCCTTGGTAACTCAGTTCTCTCAACCTCCCCCTCCTATAAGCACCCGGGCATTCATCTATCTAGTGACCTGTCTTGAAATACAACATAAATTTCACGTGTTCTGCATCCCGACCGCTAGGATATTTACGACGCAACCTTTACTCTGCCCCCCTCGCCTATGCCAGTTGTCTTATGAAACACGTTTTCCCAATCCTTGAATTTGCTTCTGCCGCATGGAAATCTCACCAGAAATACCTTGTTAACCAAGTTGAAACCATTCAAAATCGTGCTACATGGTTTACAACATCATCCTACTCCCACCATACAAGTCTCTTAAGCTAACCCCCCCTACAGCTACTCGAGAGGTGTCACATCGCTGCCCTCCTAGGCATTAGTCACAAATTGCGCTATACTAACCCCAAAGTCATCACCCAACTCCTTGAGCCTCCTAACCGAACATCGCACCGTCTAACAACTAAAGTTCTAGGCGTATTTTTGGAAATACATATGCTTTCAAGAACCCCTCGTTGCCACGCACAGTTATGCACTGGAATAGTCTTCCCTACAACATAACCTCACTTTCAGACCCTGCTGCATTTCGAGCTGCTATCCTAAATTACTTGAGTGTCCTATAGTTTTTATTCTCATGATAATCTTACCTAAATAGTGATTCACGTTTTTGTAAAATAGTTTTTTGTGGCTGGTGGCACTCTTGCCAAAAGAGAATTGCATTGTGTTTCTGCTAAAATTGTTCATGGTTGAGAGAATGGGAGCTCCTTCGTTTCATGTATTTTTTTTTTCAAAACTGTTTACACTGTACTTCTGACTAAATGCCCCCCCCCCCCCCTCTGTAATGTTCAGAAATGGACCTGCAAGGTATTTCGAATAAATAAATGAATAAAATACTATTACTTTTGGTAAAAAAGTATTCAATTATATTACTTGAGTACATAATAGGAAAAGCAGTTGACCGTTACTTGAAGAAGTGTTTCTTTCCGATTCATACTGTTCATTATTGGATTAGAATTGCCGAGTTACAAACTACATGCACCTTCTAAATCAACCACTATCACTACACCGCCAGTATAGCAGAGACTTGGTTTGAGGATTTTTTGGCTGTAAGGTTGTGGAAACAGTGTCATTAGGACGAGGAGGGAAAATAGTAATGCTTGCAATTAACTTTATTACTTCCAAAACTGGGAAGATTACGGTTGTGATTACTACCTAATAAAGGTAATAAAAATTACAAAGCTACTCCAAAAGTAATAGATTTCAAGTTATTTGATAACTTGTAACGAGGAACGTACAAGTTTAGTAGTTTGCTTGCGTTTTTGCTGAGAGTAGTATATCCCTCCCAGTATTTCTTCAGAGTTTACAAAGCATCGTGCCATAATACAAATATACCAAGACCGAATTTTAAGTATGTACTTGAAATTTGGAAGTTGTACGTTCCTCTGAACGTACCAGGAAAGAATACTTCAAGTACAAGTTTTTTAAACCTACTTGAAGTAGTACTTTAAGTACAATCCCAAGTAGTACTTTAAGTACACCCCCCAAGACTGGTCTTTTAGCACCAACACTTCGTGTTTCATAAAGTTTGTGATTATCTGATTGTTTATTGGCAGCTGTTTCCCGTCCTATGACCTTGCACTCCTTAGGGTCACACACATACTTTTGCCGAGGTGTCGCTGACCAAAGCTGTTGTCCTGTAGAGCATTACTTTTAGACTTCATTAGTTGTGCTGTGCTTGTGATTATTTCTGGAAAATTGTAGTGTTGCTACATTACAGGCACTGAAGTTATTTCACTAATCACAAATATATAGTTAAAATAGTATGAACGATAGGGCACGTGACGTTAAATATCATTTTATACTTCTTTGGGAAGCATTCTCTATTGTTGACACTATTTGAATACTATATTTTTGTCAAGTGAAATAACTTCAGTGCTTATAATGTAGCAATGCTTGAATTTACGAGATACTCGCATGAGCACACCGCAACAAATAAGGCCGAAAAGTAATGCTGTGCAGGACAACAGCTTTGGTCAGTGATACCTAGGCAAAAGTATGAGTGCGACCCTAACATGTGCGAGGTCACAGGACGGGAAAGAGGTGCCGATAAACAATCCAATAATCACAAACTTCATGAAACACGAAGTGTTGGGGCTAAAAATGAATGCCTAAGGAACCTGCACATTCAACGATATGGGCACACCAACACCGCGACTGGTTTGATCATTCTCGTGGCCAATTTCCTCACAGCGACATCGCGAGAGGTGCATATTTGGGCTCAACGCATTCTTGTACAGTGAGATTCGTCATGGACCGTGTTAACCTGATTGAAAATGGCAATCGGAGAAGCAAGGGTGTTAAAAAACTGGAGTACTAGTCTCCGTGGCTGTTCTCGAGGCTGCGAGCAAATGAACGCAGTGAGCTGGTACGGCGTTCGACGTACATCGATCTGCATGCACTTGACTTCGCTGTTGCGGCGTCTTCGCTCGGTCCCCATGCCATCAAAACCGTAATTGTTTCGTTATTTGCTGTGTCTCGTATATATCTAGCGACGAGAAGAAAATGGCACTTGCTGCATCGCGACGAAGTGAGCAATGGCGGTGGCAGAGACGATAGCAGACAACAGGTGCACAACCCGGTGCAACTGAAACCACCCGTTGAGTCTTCTGCTCCCAGAGTGCACCTGGACCTCCAGGGCACTGCTATTTTGCATATTCGAAGACCTCGAAGTTCAGATCGAAACAAAATCTTACTTCAGACTAAAACCCTTCATAAAAATTTTGTTTTCATTACTGGCTGCACATCTACACCAGCACATAGACCACTGAAGTAAAATTCAAACATTCTGCACGAATCCTTTTACCTCCCTCATAATCACACTGTTTACGAAAATTCCTCTATATCCCTGCAAAACAACAAAGTGAGGAAAAACTTGAAATAGTGTTCCTACCCAAACCTGAGATTTTACAGTAGTAATGTCTTAAGGAAGATAAGTACAAAAATTAAGTTCATTTTGGAAATTATAGATTTTGCTTTTTAAATTTTGCATGCTTTATTATCTTTAAACGTCCTAACAAAATCCCCCTCAAAAAAAAAGAAGTCTGACTAGAAGCATTGCAAGTTTACGTGAATGTCGGGCACGTTTTGGGAGACCCACTTGGGACAGCGGTGCTTTCCACGTTTCTCCATACTTGATTTGCAATAGGCAACACAAAAAAAAAGTGATTTTTACATTTGGAACACCAAAGCAAGTACGAGATTTAAGAAGGGCGGCGCAAACGCGAGCAGAGAACGCCAGTGGAAGAACGTTTACCGCAGAATGCTAAGCCTGACCACGGCAACGGCGACTGTCCCGATGCAGTTGACACTCGTGCACATGTGTCAGCACTTTGGAAAAGATTGGGTTCTTCAAAAAAAATTTACAGAACAAGTAGCTATGGCCCTGCTACTTCAGTGCTGAGCGACATTGTTGCACTGACAATACTTCCGAGTGATGCTATACTCCTTTCACCCCTAAGCTGGGACTGCAGTTGAAGCTACGTCCTCGTTGGACCAGTCGTGTGCCTCTCTTTCGCAACGTCGTCATGCTCCCGGCTATACCCAGGCGCGAAGAGCCGGTCAGGTGATAAGAGGGAGGCGCCTGATTGGTCCGACGGGCACGTAGCTCTCACCGTAGTCTCAGCTTAAGGCTGAACAGACTTTGTAGCCTGTCACGAGTGCAAATTCTTTATGCGTTTGACAGTTGGCTAGAGAATGCCTGGGATTTTCATAGTTCTATTGCACTTCTCAGTTTGCAGCTTTGGGTCATCTTCTCAGTTTCTGCACTCAGTTTTTGGTATTTAGTCTTCTCTTCATAATGAATTCTTATATGCATCATCTTGAGGATAACTAAAGTGCCAGTATCTCTTTGAAATTGCTATACCATAATTATAGGGTTTATTTTGCAAGTTTTAACAATCTTCTAAAGGGCTTCTAAAAGGAAGGCTTTATGACATCTTTATTTTTCCTTTCTAGACTACGCACACAGTTTTTGGCTAGTTACTACCACTATACGCTTAATGAGAAGCAAAATGAGCTATTGCAGTGCTCCTTTTAAAAAATTTGTGTGCCTAAATTTTTGTACCAAAAACCTTTTTTATGCAAGAGTTGTTTCTGCCTCTGAACACAACTATAGAATTTATATTAAAAGTAAAAATTATTTTGAAAAGTGAAGACAACACTTTATAACTAACTAAAGTTTCATTATTCAAGAGCAAGTATTAAAAACAAATGTTTGCGTAGCAACTTCTCTTCTTAAATAATGAACCTCGTAAATGCCAGCAAGATATTTCGTAGTTAAATTATTTGTGTTATCAAATGAAGTACTTTTAGGTGAATGGGAGCAATCTGCTGAGTGCTGAGTTAACACCTATTGCATTCTTTGTTTCAGTGGGAAGGATGGAGCGCCCCTCTACAGAGAACTGCCAGAACAAGGAATCTTCGTCAACACAATTGCCATTGCCATAATTGCGTTGACAATCTTACTTCCTCTGCTTGTCAAGAATAATCTTCGTGGTGGACAAACGGTCCTGTCAATCAACTAGCAAGGTGGCAAATCTTGTCAGGTGATGTCGTCTGCAATGGTCGATGCGACAGCACCTCCAGAAGTCATCTTTGTCAAGACGACCACAGAACTTTGAGATGATTTCATGACCATATGGCTCCAGTCCTCACAGTGGCCTTTTTTGAGAAGTAGCTTTTTGGAATTTTCTTTCTTTGTCTTAAGCTTCTTGGGCACAACTCTCAGCGCACAAATTCGCTAACAGGTTCAGCATATTCTCTGGTAGTTGGACATGATACGGTACTGGTGGCTACATTATTAACGCAGCAAAGGTAAAATTTCAAAATTGAAGCCTGTCTGAGATGTTTAACCTTAAGCTTTGTTCTTTTCCCTCTATATCTAAGATAAGCATGAGACATACCGACCAATTCTTGAAGGATTGGACATTGTTTGGAAGAGCATAAAATATTTTGACATGCATGCCTTATATTGCAAAAATATTTAGGATATTTATACTGCTCAACTGTTATAACTTGCCACTTTAATCATTAGGGCATGAATGTTCTGTCTAGCTCATAAACACCTTCAACCAAAGGAGAACACTAGCAAAGTGGCTTTTCATTAGTTAAGCACCAGTTTGGTTATTTAAAAAAAGTTGCCGTCTTTTCAAAATGGCTGCTGTAGGACTGGAGCCTTTGAAATGTTATGCACCAACCTAATTTCAAAAACTTTTTTTTTTAAGAGTTTAGATTGACATGCAGTCTGACAATTAGTAGTCTTGAAACAATTGATTTCTGGAGAGGCTGTCGTGAGCCAATGAGATTTCGTATCTCTGGGGAACATGGCTGCAGCTGCTACACGTTTTTAGTCTGGTTTAATTTTGTGCATGAGACCTCCAATGCCTTGTTAGAAAAGTAAGGTATGCTTGGAAGTGAGCCCATAACTTCCACAGCATTTCATGTTTTGTTTTTGCAATTCAGAATTTGCATCTTCCAATTTTGTAAAGGATACCCTCCAATTTGAGAAGGAATTCTTTTTTTTTTTTTTTTTTATTAATCAATGGTTAGCCATGAAAACTGTTACTTTAGATGAAGTGTGTCTTGCTTCGGAAAAGTTGTAGTCTGAGCAATGTTGCAGGAACTGCCAGCAAAGGATATGCAGTTGCCCACACTTTTTTTTTTTTTTTACACTGTTTCTTTTAACTATTTTGCATGAATATTGAGTTGTTTAGTACTGTATGAGACTCACACCACATATAAACATCTCCTCATAATGCTCATTTATACTCTGCAACATCTTGTAAATGTGTTGTTGAAACGTCTGCTGCGTTCTGTCCTGTGGCAACCAACCACCCTTTGTTTTGTTTTCTTTTTGTTGTGCATGTCGAATGCCATCCACACGCAGATGCACTTCTACACTCCGCACATGTTTTGCGTCCACATTGTTGCGTGTATGTGCAGTTTATATCAACCCTTTCTCCATCTGCCAGAACTGCGGGTAGTACAAGTGTTGCTTTTTCGAGGGGCGCATTATTGTACAGGACAGAATATGCAGCCTGAACAAAGACCAGTAAACAAATTTTTGAAGCACTTCAGTTCAACCGCACAAGTACCATGCGCAGCATTAGGCCAGATTTGTCATGGCCGCAACCAAGTGTAATCTCGTGCTAGCCTAAGTTTTCGCAGCCAGTTGGGTGCACTAAAAGGCATTACAACTTTGTGTTAAAAAAAAAAGGAACTTGATTAACTTACTTTAAATTTGTGATGTAAAAACAGTGTGTTTGCATGCCTCGCTTCAGCACAAGAACAGTGAAAAAACAATACCTTTCCAACTATAGCGGTCTACAACTTGGCAAGGGAGAGTACCGAACAATTCCCTTGTTGCACTGCATTGCAAGCAGGCAATTTCATCCAGACACTGCATTGGAGTACTTTTTGTTAGTGGAAGCAGGATGTACAAGCAGGTTTTGACATATTTAGCAGTTATAAAACCTTGGACCTGGTTACTGCACCATCCATACAAAAGTCTTGTACACTACCCGATTCGAGTCTCTTCAAAGAACAAGCTTTGCGTCCCCCATTATGAAATGGCATGCCCAACCGCATAGAGGGAGCCCCTCTTCCGTGCCTTTAGTACCTCGTAGTACAGAAAATATCAAGTTGTTGCAATTTTTCACTCGTCATTTGTACCTTGTGGTTATCTTTCTGTTTTGCCTGTACATAAAGAATGCACTGCTTCTGGAACGAAACAAATGCTGTTCTATTGTCTGAAGCATTGACATTTTTTTTTCTTGTGTACATACACATGTACTCGACGGTGCGTGAATAATCTGTCCCCTGTAATCCGTCGGCAAAGTATAATATAATTTTTTTTACTGTGTCCAAGTGGTTGCTGCTTTTTTTTTTTCTTTCTTTTTAGCAAGGGCATTCAACAACAACTTTTCTCGAAGTTAAACAAGAGGTTAGGATGCAGGTTGGTACAAGATAGGTTTGTAGGCAAAGTAATACTCGAGGACTAGTGGCGTTACAATTTTATGTTTACAAACTGTACAAAAAAAAAAATTGGAAGTGGCCCGTTTTGGAAGGAGCCAAAATATGGTTCCAGTAAACTACTGAAACGTGCCCGCAATTTCAGCTCGTCGTACTGATCTCGTAGACGCGCACAAAGTGGTCGTCGCCACAGCTCGCCATCTGGAACGTAGACTCTCCGTTTGTCCTCGGGGAGAACTCCAGCCTCCTCACGGTCAGGTGGTGAGCCAGGCTGTTTTGAAGTTAAGTGTTTTTCGGTCTGTGAGGTTTGTGCTGCACAGCACACAAGCCCATTGGCAAGGCTAAAGATTTCTACCTCAAGTACATAGTCATGCAGACTTGCATTTACTACGGGACAGATGGGTATTGATTGGTGAGGCTAAACAGAAGACTATGCACACTTAAAAGAAACTGGTCTGTGGCATTTGAATAAAAGTGTCTGAACACAAATCGAGAGATGAAGCTCTTTGGGATCGCAGGCGTAGAGCCGGGTTTTACAGCGCGTACAGTCGAACCCCTTCATAATGAACAGCAGGAAACTCTACGATCAGTTCGATATAGCAAAAACCATTTACAACGAACTTCCACGATGCGTTTGTTATATGCCAGAGCTTATCTTTCTTTCTCATCCCTTCGATCCTGCCTTGTAACAATGCGCTGAAAAAATAGTTTTTCTTTTTTTTTTTGCTTAAGTGCAAATTTTTTTGTAAGCAATTGCTTTGAAATAAATTTTTTTTTTTTCTTTTTTTTTTTTTTTTTTTTTTTTAGCTTTCTCTCTTTTTGATTCGCTCCTCTTCGCTCAGTTTCGTTAGCAACTTGAGCGCTTAAAATTTTTTCTTTCCCATTTTTTTTTTTTTTTTTTTTGAGGGGGGGGGGATTGGTTAGAAGACTATTATTTGCACGTTTTTGGGAGCCTTCCCGTGGGGGAAAAGTTCGATATAGCCCATATGTTGTTCATTATAAAAAGCACTTTTTACATGCATTTTTATTTAAACTTTCCGTGAGTTCGATATCGAAAATAATTCGCTGTACGTGGGTTCGTTCTAAACGGGCTTTTACTGCACTGTTCATGAATAGAGGACGAGGCATACATCCTCGCAATGTAGCAATGCAGTTTCGTAGGTAAAAGGATACGCCGAAGTCAGCCTGGACGACAGCGTCCAGTCGTGACCTTCGCTCCACCGGTAAAGAAGAACCGTTCCATTTTCCAGTCCCACTGCCATGAGGTACCTGAAGCATCGACACCAAAAACTTAAAACCCACCCGTTCGGGATTCGTCAGAGGGAACTAAGGTGCCCGCCAATGACCGGCGCGTTTAGCGCGACCAAAAAAAGCGGAAGCCTCAATTTCCGCCCAACGACGACGTGAAAGTGCCATGCCAGCCGCGGTCCCGGTGGCAACGCGGTGGTGGAACCGGCAGACGCCCGTTGGTGACGCTTGCATTCCCTCGCGCCTTTTTCCAGAACTTGTGCTCGAAATTGCCAGGATCACAACGCCCGACAGTGCAATGTTCCGGCTTTTGTGACATCGTTCGTTGCCGTTTCAGGACAACTTTTTGTGCGCGGGCGGAGCAAGATGCCGGCTGCACCGGTCGAGGATGCATGCCAGCTGCCGTAGTAAGAACATACCTTTTGTCCGCCGGGAGACCGGGTGCAAATGCAACTGCGGTGGCGGAGTCTTCTACGTTGAGCTGCGCCTTGCTTTCGAAAGGTCCCAGACAGTCGTCCAAAGTGTGGCTTTCGGGCCTTTTTCCCCACACGACCACCTGATTAGGAAATGCGAGTTTCACCGTGATTTTATTCGGGGGGTTCACATGCACAAAGACTCGCGGAAAATGGCGAAAACTCTTAAGAAAATACGTGGTTCCCAAAGTCCACACAAACATTTTGGAAATTCTGTTGTTTTTTTTTTTCCCCCTTTGTTAGTTGGCACAGAGGTGGACAATGTTTCCTTGGCGCAGGGATGGGCAAAATACGTACAAATATGTATTGAAATACAAATACAAAATACTTCGTCAAAAATGTATTTAATTACAAATCTAATTATATTTCCAAAAAAGCATTTAAGTACGAGATACAAACACAACCAAATGTATTTGGTCTCCTCCAAATACTTTTCCAAATACATTCCTCAAAATTTGAGTCAGCGACTTCAGGGCACCTGCAACGGGTTTCTGGGTATCTCATTTTAATTTTGCATCGCACACTCGGGAGTCAGTGTGCGAGGCTCTAGTAACGTAATAGAAATATAATCACAAAAAACAGATGTAATCAGCTTGGACGTAATAGGTGAAAAAAGTACAGAGCTTCACGCAGCTATAGACCAACAAAGAACCGAGATGACCAAGACGCGCAGCACTAGCTAAAGAATTCTTTATTGTTGCAACTCGCACCAGTTACAAAAGTCTGGACAACCCGCGCATTTAGAATGTTCCAGGCAAAAAATATGGATGGAAATCACGCTGGAAAGCATCACAAGTTGTCACAGGCACTTATTTAGCCAGTCTGCCTGTGAACGTTGATTTCGTCACTATTCTTGCCCTGGACCGTAATCACAAAGTCACTAAACGCTTGTGCTTGATTGAGATACACTGCATTCGGTGCAGAACGTGGTTTTCCTCCTGCTCTGGACAGTTACAATAAATTTGAGGGATGTATTTTCGCCCACTAAATTGTATTTAAATATGCACATCAAATACATTACCCAATTTGTAATTAAATACAAATGCAAAATACACAAAGTATTTTAAATATATATTTCAAATACTTGTAATTGAAATACTGCCCATCCCTGCCTTGGCGAAATCGTCGTGACGAGTTTTACAGTTTTGACAAACACTGGATGCCTCCTGATGTCTATTCGTGGGCCTTTCAACACCTCAGTCTTTCGTAATAGCTGACAGGGAGCACTTAATGTTGTAACGCCTTGCCTACAAAAAATAAAAAGCTACCTTCTATTCAAAAGCAGGGCAAGGAGGCACTCCGCAGGCCTTTACACCTCTACAGTTTTCGAAACACAAAAAAAATCTCGGAAATGCCTATAAGGAATCTGAGTGGCATACCACGTGTCGTCACTCAAATATAGTAATTTTTTCAGTCTTCCCAAACTACCGAGGACTCTGAGTGCTATGGTGGCCACTAAGATACAAAGTGAAGGTTACCAAAATTGTAGAGACCTTCCACTTCACATGAAGATGGAGGACCAGCAAAGCCTTGTCCTTGATGTCACCCTCTAGGACAATGCCTAGAGGATGACATCCTCTAGGACAATGCTTAGAGGGTGACATCCTCTAGGACAATGCTTAGAGGGTGACATCCTCTAGGACAATGCTTAGAGGGTGACATCAAGGACGACCTCAAGAACAATGTGTAGAGATAACAAGGGATCAGGACCTCACACTCTAATAACGCCAAGGAAGGCGGACTCATGCTGCTTAACCCCTCTTTTTATTTTTATTTATTCATACTTTTCACGACCAATGGAGAGTTTTCTGTCAACATCCGAGGACATATTTTTTTCCCAGATCCTAGCGCATAACTGCTTTGCTGTAAGAACTCACTTTTTTGTCTCTGGATGCCGTGGCGAAGTAGTTACAGTCGTGGGACCAACTGCAGCTCCAAATGATCCTCTGGTGGATGGCAGTGTTCTTGTCTGCATGAGCCACCTTCCTGAAAGTGGGGCCTGCAATAACCACATAAAGTGAGAGCAGTCCTTAAACATGTTAACACTCGTGACTCTAAGGCTCTGGGTCAACCATAGAGCTGGAAAAAACATTGATTCTGCGGTTATAGCATGTTTTCTAAAATCTTGTATTTTATGTATTGGAGAAAGAAATTGTGGATCAACCATTTAGTTCATCTACCTCAAACTGAATTTCAAATCAGCCAGAACAATGCACTGCAAAGAGCATATATTGGCTGAGTGACTTGCAGAAATCTTTACAAAAAATATATAGTGTCCGAAATAACCAAGCTCGATCCAAAATGGGCCATAAACATCAGCGCTTGCTTGTAGCAATCTAAACTTCTGGTCAAACATGTATTACACAGGTTGGTTTCGTCTTGTAAAATTACATAGCATAACTCCCTCTTTGTAAAAAATGGGCCAAAAAAATTGCCAGGCTCAACGGCGGACGACAACGCGGACGCAGGGGCGGATCCAGAACTCGGTTTTGGGTGGTGGGGTGGGGGGGGGGGGGGGGGGGGGCAGAAAATTTGTAAGGATACTATTCTCCCATTCTTTCGTGTGCACTGGGGGGTCCACCCATGTCGAATTGCCCTCCGAGAAGGGGGAGGAGGGGAGGTCGACTTTGTTTAGAGGGGGGGGGGGGGGGGGGGGCAACTGCCCCCGTCGCCCCCCCCGCCCGCCCGCCCGCCCCCCCCCCACTGGATCCGCCCCTGTGCGGGCGAACGAGTCGAGTGACAGGGTGCATTTGGCATACATATTGATAGATGGCGTCGGGAGCAGTGTCAGAAGGTGGAGCTGACCAGCGATGCAGTCCGTCGGCAGCAAGAACGCCGTTGTCATGCAACCGCCCTTTTTTCATTTTCTTTTACTTCAAGTTTTGCTTTTATTGCCTACATTTATTTTTAAACCTAAGATACATGACAAAAATAGTATGTTGATTTTAATAGAACATGGCCGCTGTTCTTGATAAGGAGGTAGCACCATCTATCAATATGTGCACCAAATGCGCCCTGCCACTTGACTCGGTCGTCTGTGTCGTCGTCCGTTCGCCGTTGACCCTGGCAAGTGTTTTAGCTCCATTTTTTTGCAGAAAGGGAGCTACACTTCGTAATCTTGTGAGATAACACCGAACTGTGAAATACATCTTTGACAAAAAGTTCAGGAAAATCGGCAGGCGCCGATTTTTACATTCCATTTTAGATGGAGCCTGGTTATTTTGTAACCCCTATAGTACAACAAATAAAAACAATTAAACATAAACAACTTGGTTGCACTTTTTTTAATAATTAATTATTTGCCAGGAATGGTGCAAATTCGACTTCCCAATCAATGCACAGCAAAGAGGAGAAAATTTATCTGTGCCACATGCACATGGCTGAAATTTACAAATTATGATTGCAATGATGAGAAATATGTCTAGGTCCACAGACAATCTCTGAGGTGAGGCATATATAATAATAGTTAATATAAAACAAACCAGCATGAATGTTTGCCCTGCAATGCTAATGATAATACACCCAGTGCTAAATCTTGCCGGGTGACGCTACATTAGTGTGCGGAGTCTGAATTCGCACAATGAGCTGCTTTGTCCTGCAAAACAACCTTAAGTTTCTTCGCGCTTGTTGGACACAAATTTCTTGGCAGGTACCGTCATCAGTGCCATTTAATGCTTCTATAACGAGTGACTTCTTCTTGTCTAATGACTTTCCAAACAGTCTGCTTATCAGTGAAACTAACAGCTTTACTGCAGTAAGGGTGTGTATGCAAGGCTTGGAAAAGATCTAAGCCCAGCTGCTCCTCAAGCATCAATGCTAAGAACAGAGGAAAAAAAAAAAAAAAAGCAACAAGTGGAAAAAGACAGCTTAGTTTGGGAGCAGTATGATTTACTGACGCTGCTGGTGTGCTTGCCTGTGGGGTCAATCTCGTGCATGCACCAGGACCTGTCTCTGGAGACGCTGAGGAGGTACCGGTCGTCCGGCGAAAATGCCATCTGGGTGATGGTGAGGTTGTGGAATGCCAGCCTCCCAAGCTCCTTCCATGTCTCAGTGTCCCAGAGAATGATGGCTGCATGCTGCTGAGTGCTTGCCTTTTTATAAAAAAATAAAAAGAAATTCCCTCTTTTTTCAGGAATGTCACGGTACAGAGGACAGAAAAATCAATTTCTACCAAACCCCACCATTTGGACGCATCCTTCAATTGTCAGCGGCTGCACAAACTCTGAAAGGTTACTTGCAACAGCAGCTTCACTTTACTCGAAAATAGTTGCATTCACACTGTATTTGCTCCAGGAAGGTTGGCTAGCAAAGCTAGATTGATAATGATATTAGCACGCTGAAACATCTGTTGTTAGTTCCTCAGAGGTGCCCTCAAACAAGTGTGACATTTTTTTTTTTCATATATTACGCTGCGAGCTTTATAGGCTGCAGAGAGGGTTCTGTATACGCGCAGGAACTATAAAGGCTGGCTTGATTGCGCCCAGCATGGTGTAATTTCTTGTAACCTCTGGCACCATCTTTTGGGTAGACCTGGAACACTACCTCCCTGTGTATAACTAGACTAAAGGTTTAGCAGTATTTGCGGGGTCAGATCTATGCACTATGTATGAGAAATGGTCGCTTATAACATTACAAGAATTATTTCAAGCCCACTATGAAAACATTACGCATAAAAGATTAGAAAAATAGATAAAAAGGTCGAAGGTGAACCAGCCTTAAAAAAGTTAGAATAGCAGTAGAAGTCACTTGAGCGCAACCACAACACCACTAGTAAGTATTAGTACAAAGCATGAATCGAGGCGTACAAAGAACGACAAAGGTAAGCTATTAATCCAGATCGACTCAATACCTCTGCTAGACAAAAACGTAGCGCAACAACAAGCATGATACACACCTTACAAGCCGAAGCCACAAGTTTTCCGTTGTGGCTGCCGGCGACGGCAAACAACTCGTAGCCGTGGCCGTACAGCTTCCTGACTTCTGACCACAGCGTGTTCTGTATCAGGTCCTCTTCTGCCGGTGGTTCTAAACACCTCAGAAAGAACCAAAAACTTATTTTAGCTTGAACAAAGATAGAAACGGGCACAAGGCCCAACACTGCAAGTAGCATCTCCTTGGACAAGTCTGTACCATACCGGTGAGTGCGACAGGAGTGAAGTAGAACTCTGGGTACTGGTCTTTTGGGTGCTTCTGTTCGTCTCCGGCACCGTCGTGGAGATCTGTTTCGTAGACCGCCTTGTTCGAGAGTCCCAAAGAAGGAACACTGGCCCCCTCTGCAAGCTCCTGGATGAAAGAAAATTGAATAAAAGCAATAGTAAAGCATTTTTCAGAGCTCCCAACCCACAAGTTTGGTGCTGGTGACAAAATAAATTGTCACTTGTAACCTCTGCCGAAAATTCAATTCGTTTTTACAGTAGAATAGTTACCCAAATCCTGTTACTCCAGTTTGTTGCCTGTGCAAAATCTCAAACATATACCGTATTTACTCGCAGAATGAACGCACTTTTTTTTTTTCCGAAAAATCGATGCAAAGTTAGGGGGGCGTTCATTACCCGAAGTAAAATTTTTGCGTCCGTATTTACTCACATAATGAACCGACCCTTTATCCTGAAAGATCGAAGTAACTTCTTATATCTTTGCGCGCGGCGCCCGACCCCGTAACCAAACTAAGCTGTGCAAAAAAAAAAAAATACTCCGCATTGTTTTCTTTTTCTCTTAGTTACTTTTTTTTTGCCGCTTTTCGCAAGCTGTTTTGTTTGCTTATGCGAGGGCTCTCCGCTTATCTTTCTTATCTCCTTGCGCGCGGCGCCCGACACCCATAACCGAACTGCGCTGTGAAAAAAAGAAAAAAAAAAAAAGCTCCTCTTTTTCTTTTGTTTTCAGTTCCTTGGTTTTTTTCTTTTTTGCCGCCTTTTGCGAGCTGTTTCGTTCGCTTAGAGCGCTTCTCCCCTTCTCTTTCTTACCTCCTTGCGCGCGGTAGCGCGCGAATCCAAAGTCCAGACTGCGCTGTGCAAAAAAAAAAAAAAAGCTCCTCTCCATCATGTCGTATTACACCTGAGACTGCGGTGGAAAAAATCGGAAGAACTTTCAGTAGAAGGAACAGACACAGAGAACGTCTCAAACTCAGCTCTGTGTCTGTTCCTTTTTTTTAACGCCTTCGGCAAGGCGTTTTGTTCGCCCACGCTGCCCATGCATTCGCGACCTCGCTGCACCAGGATAAAAAAAAGTGCGTTCATTTCGCGCGCGTGGGGGGAGGGGGTCAAAATTTTGACGTCCGAGTTGGGGGTGCGTTTATTACGCGAGTGAAAAAAAAAGTCGAAATTTTGAGAGCCGACTTGGGGGGTGCGTTCATTACGCGAGTGCGTTCGTTGTGCGAGGTAATTTTTTTTTACCAATTTAGAAAAATTTAGGGACTGTGCCACATCTACTTATGCCTCCAGGTTTAGCAATCAAAATAAACATTTTGATGAAGGAAAGAACTTAAAAACTTAGTTGTATTCTTGGGAACCAACAGACACTTTTTAAAACTGGTTATTACTGAAATCTGCCAAAGGCACCATATACCAACCACAACTCTTAAATGCTTCACACCCCTATACTCGGTCATGCAAATTAAAAATCGCCGCTTGATTTAAATTTAGGGATGGGTATTAGAAAGTTTAACCCAATCGTTTAGCACTGTTTAATGCTTCATCATCTCATCAGATGGTTTCATCCCTCTATAAATATAAGAAAAAATGAATAACACTCATTATTATTGGAAAGATCAGGTTTTCAGAGCTGGAGTTAGCATTTTGTCCACAAAATCCGTTATAATAGAAGCATGAAGCTTACCTTGACATCCGAATGATGCAAAATGTCCACGTGGCTGATTCTCTTGAAGTTGTCGACGAAGTTGCGGGTTCCCTCAAAGGCCCGCAGCACTTTTTCGTCGGCTCCAGAGACGAATCTGAGCTGGCCGATCGAGCTGATGCAGCTCATGTCGTAGCCATGAACTTGGGGTCGCGCTATTTCTTTCCACGACTGAAACAACAAAGAAAGAAATGCACCTGCATCGCCACTTGAGCGAACGAAGGAACACTTCCCAAGATAATGCATGGTGTTGCTACTAGTCAGGAAGGGAACACACATTTTTGTGGAGGGGTTAGGCAATTTTATATTTAGAAATATTAAATGAAACAACCCGTAGATTCTGCTTGTTCTCATTTCTGATCATAAAATTAAGCCTCCTAATGTTCCTTACTATGTCTCCCCATTCATTTTGCAAGCTCTATAGCAGTTGGCTCATACTCAAGTTAATAAGTATAGGGAAGGGAATGATGATTTTCTTTTTTAGGGGCATCTCCCACCACCCTATTTTATTGCAACTGAATTCATTCATGACCATGCTAAAAACACTGCACTCGTGACGTCAGAACAGGACAATTGCAACTACTAAAGCAGACACTGTTTTCCAAACTAGAATTTTTTTCCCAATGTGAAACCTCCTTAACTTAGTTTAGCAGTTAGCGTCGCTCGGCCTGACTGTTGTGATACGAGAGAGTAGCTTTCCAAACATTAGATTCCAGGTTCCAGTTGAATATTAAGTCATTTAATTTGACATTACAGAATTAGAAACATATTTATACCCCGTTTTACCCTATGATGGACCGCGGCGCATACTACGAGCCATCCCAGCACTGTGAATGCATCACGTGACTGCATGCCTCGTGCGTCACCGTGACTCTCTTAAAGGTTTCGTGACATTCACACGGCAGTAGAATGGCTTTGATGGCTCGTAGCACCCCCTGTGGTCAATCGTAAGGTGAAACAGGGTGAAGTGGTTTTGCCATATCTTGCTCGTAAAATAAAATAGGATGGAGCAACACTTGCCAAAAGGAACCATTGCTCACATTAAGATACAACACTGCTCAAAGTGCACAAAAAAAAAAAAAAAAGCTAGTTTGCACTAAGACATACGGTAGTTGCAGCACACTATACCATTCCCGCAGGTGCGACCCAAGGTGCATGCAGGCGTGTTGTCTTGTCCTTGCTGCAGCTCAGGAGGTACTCCCCACGTGGGTCCCAGGAGAGGTCTACGACACTGTCGAAATGACCGCCAGGTGTCACGGCAGGCTCCCACGCCGAGCTGGAACCGTCCTTCTGATGTGCAAAGTATGAGAAAATGAAAAAAAGGTTCTTTATGAGCCATTAAAAAAAGCCAGACATCTAACTGTTGTTGGCTACAATGTTCAAGCATAGCACTGGGTGCTAATGTTTTAGCCCGGCAAAAACTTTGAAGAGTGGGCGCAACGTGCGTTAAACATGTTGTGCTCACCTATCAAGGTTTTCACCACATCTGCATCCCGTGCTATATTTTGTGTAAACACTGGAGCTGTCTGCAGAGTCTGGACATTTAATACATATTACTATTTGGTCACTGAATGCGGGGTGTGGCGAGTCCCAAACATCTTAATATCGCCCTGCAGCCAATAAGATTGCGACATTAGCCAATAAAAATGCTGAAGAATCAATAGTAAAGCAAAAAGTGTAGACGTATTAAACCACACCCCGTGTTTCTTCAACTGTCAGTGACCATAATACTGCCCTGTGCATGGCCGAGTGGGCAGCATGTGCGGCTCGCACGCAAATGAACCGGGTTTGGATTTCGCCCTGCGTTTTGCTATTTTGACGTCCTGACGGAAACTTCCAGACATTCCTGTTGGCTATTGAATCTTCTGGGTAAGGGCCTTCAAGAAAACAGACCATCCATAAAAACGGCCATAGGATGCACCACCAAATCAGTCCCGCCAGCACCCTATCCTGCTGCTATGCCTATGTCGACGCCTGTTATTGTCTCTTTTGTTTTGGCACAAGTTTCACACATTAAACTTTTAGTTTCATCAGTTTTTACATTGATTCTTCACTTGTTATTCGTGATGCATATCCATATTAAATTTGTTATACATATTAGTAATATGTCAAAAGAAAATCTGTTGTGGCACTCACAGAGAGCGAGGTTTTCCTTTAGGTGCGAGATCTTGTTTTGCTGTCATTATAACAATTTAAGACACTGCAAATAATATAAATATCTACTAACAATTTAGATATCAACATATTTGATTGGAACAGTATTTTCTAATATTATCAAATAATTTTGAATATTAAAGATGTGTTATCCCGCCTACCTTCATAAGCCTGCCGATTACTCTTAGACACACCTTTTACAACAAACAAAACGTTAGAACAAACTATGGTACTCAAACACTTCATTATCAAATTGCTGACTTACTAAATAATCACGCAAATGTAGTTCAAACGGTACACAACTGTAGCAATCTCCATATGTTTAGGAAAATAATCAAATTGTATTTTCTTTCAATTGAATAATATGCACCTGCCACTTGTGCCATTAGTTCAAATGTGCAAATGTGATCAATTATATTATAAGTAACAGTTTTTGTTCTTTTTTACTCAACTTTGTGACTCTTCAAATGTTTTCATTCATGGACTTATTTTGATGTGGATTAGGTAATTGATGTTCATTTTTTTCGGTATCCTTAGAAGGTATGTGCCGAGTGCTGTAATGGGGGCTGGTGGCCACCATTACAGTTCCTTGAGTGCTCCTTGAGTGCACTCCCCCACCCGTACAGGTGGACTGCAGTGAAGCGACTCACACGGCGGCAGTGCAGGTGGCATTCTTCCGCAACGCGCGTGGAGAAAGAGCCTCTCCTAGGTATAGAAGTTTGTTATGCGGTATGTGAAGTGGCAGTGTTATTTTCCACAACTCTATTGTTTGGGAGTAATCGAGCAAATAAAAGGCAGTCACAAAGCCAAGTCACAAAATGCCCTAAAGTAGCCAAGTCCTTACTTCGCAGAGCCTCCAAAGGTGCAAAGCTCCTTGAAAACCGTGTGCGAGGATGCTGGTCCCATCTGGGCTGTACGCAGCCCCGTAAAAACCCATAGCGTTCCCTCCAACTCCTCCCAGTCGAACCTAGACGAGGCAAGAAGCAGTTGACAGGTTTTGATTAATGATATGACATCTAAAATCCTCGCTAGCTCAGGAATACCAGAAAATATCACTAAAAGTCGATCAAGATATGGAAGCACAAACTGACATCAGAACAGGCAACTTTGGAAGTTGATTGACCTTGTGTGGAAACAGGCAAATAACATCCTGAGTAGACCCAGGAACACAACCAACTGATCTAATACTAATCTGCCTTTTTCTGCAGTTGGATTCTTTCTCTCAGCTAGGTATACACAGAGAAGGACTGTGGGAATCAGGTCAACCTCAAGCCTCATTGGGTCATGCAATATAGTTTCCGGGACTCTTAATAGAATGCCTGGAACAACCAAAAGTTCCTCTGCATTCACGTAGCCAGTGGGGGGGGGGGCGAAAGCCCCCCCCCCCCTCCCCCCAAAATCTTCCATTTTGCTGGGGCCTCCTCTCCCCCCTCCCCCTCATACAGCATTTTGTCATGGGGGCAGGCTTCCCCCCCCCCCCGAATAAAAATCCTGGCTATGTGCTTGTTCCTTTGGTTATATACGAGTTAAACTGTGAAGGTGGCAGTATGTTCCGTGGTGGCTGTATGGTATGTGCACAATATTACTAAGCAGTTTGCACCTCAGTACTTGCATCTATTGCCTCAGTCAAAACTTTTTGAATTGGCATCTAGTCTGATTTATTGATTTGGTTATTCTCATTTCAAGAACAGCTGTCAGTGTTTTACTCTTTTCAAGATCAGCTACATCATCTGAATCTGGCCATTTACATAAACCCATCATGACTGCTATCACTATTTGCTATTCAGTGAAGTTGTGAACTTGACAGAGTTGCCAAAAACTTAATCACCGTTTTGTCACATCCCTGGCATCTACCCACATAAGAATAAACAGTGGGATCAAGAGTCAACTTGCTAATGCGCCTTTTAGTCCATACCAGAAAAAAGATTGAGGTACACCTAAGCACTTCTTATGAGTTGTGAATGCGAAAGCATATACATCAATCTTGGCCTATGCGTGTTGGCACGCTGGCTGGCGCTGACGGGCACACAGCGCCATGAGGTGGCCAGTCGTTGAAACTGACGCGCAGCATCAGTTTCAACGACCTGCCACCCCATAGTGCTGCGTGTTTGGCGAACGGGAGCCTGGTCCACGCGCGCTAGCCAATAGGATCGCAGCAGTGTAAAAGGTGCCATTGGCTGTGGACGCGCTCTAGCCAATGGGATCGAAGTGGTGTAAAAGAGCCATTTGGCGTGGTTTTAAAGCTGATGACGTCGGCTAGCTTCATGAGACAGTTAATGCTTTCGTATTAAAAGGAGGCATGAGCTCACATAAGTGCAAGCCACTGCACTTAACTTCACAAGATTTGAATGAATTGTACAGTGAATCAAAGAGTCAAAATCAGCCACCCCATGTGGATTAATAAGCTGTGGCTTCATACCTAGAAACACAGTGAAAATACCTTCTCAATCCAGAGTCCAGAAGCTTGATCAGGCTCCCAAACAATCAGGGTTGCATCCATGGATGCAGAAAGTAGGTTATGGCAACCCTTTCCCCATTCATCTGGAAAAAAAAGAAACCAACAATGTTCGTTTTTTTTTTTTTTCTTCTAAGTGCGAATAGGTGAAGTAAAATAGTGTAAATTTTATTGTTGCCTTTGGAAGGCTTGGGATGCCAGCGTGCACTGAAAGCCCAGTCTTCATGGCCAGAAAGTATTGTCTCGAGAGTGACATAGAAGGTCAGCCTGGGGCCTTGTGGGAGAGAAGCAATACAGGCATTAATCTAAGTTGCATTCAGGATGTTGCATTAGACAGCGTCAGTGATCTGCAAACTCGTACGCTGCGTCAACATACAAGTACATGAGCCAAAGCTAGAGCCCTGCGCGGATAACAGTTTGATCATCCGCATCCAATCCGCAGATTTTGTTTCCGCATCTAAACCACACCCGCAATAATTGTACCCGCTTCCGACCCGCATCCGCAGACTTCGTACCCGCATCCGAACTGCACCCGCAAAATCTGGAACCGCATCCGACCCTCAATTTGTGCATTCGTTTTACATCATATAATAAAACACAAACAAAAATTTAAAGAAAAAAAACATCTGGATTGTATCTTTTAAGCTGTCTGCTTACCTTAGTACAGAAAAGTCTTCGTGTCAGAATAAGGTGAAAGCCATTTTATTGTATTCTGTTTAATCATATTTATAAAATAAGTGATCAGACATTTCGCATCGCTGGAAAGATTATCGAAGTTATGAAATCGTCTTTGGAGTCCGAGACACTGACACTCTGTTCAGAAGATGCGCTCAAAAGGAAGGAAATTTTAGTACTTATTTTCTTCTTTTCTTTGTAAAACCCACTTCAAGCAGACGCATGTTATAAACATGAACATTAACAGAGCACGAACTAATAACATTGTGTGTTTTTATTTCGGCGAAACAATAAAGAAGTGTGACAGGAAAGGCGCTCACTTACCGCAGCAAAGTACTTGTATATATCGGGTTTGGTGCGAGTACACCACTGGGAAAAGAACACAATATTCAATAATGGCAACACCTCCTATCGGTTTCAGTTTTAAACACGAACCCTCAACTGCATGCTAGGAGCCATATACTTAAAAACAACTCGGTGCCAACTGTTGAGAAAAGGAAACGGCACATACACGCAATGTTTCCCTTGTCGATGTTGTTCTGTAGAAGAAACAGAATATCGTCAACTCGGACGTTTTCAGACTGGTTCGCCTCTCTTAAATTAATACCCGCTAATGAGAGGCCTCTGTTCGTTGATGCACTTGATGCTAGGATGGCATGCATAAACTGCGCTACAAGAATGAGGCTCAAAAACTCGTGCTGGCACAAGTTCCACCACTCCAGAGAATCGAATTCAGTCTCCTCGATCTACTTGCTGGCGAAGAAGCTACTTCTACTTTCTTGTGGCTTGTAAGTTTTGGGTTTTCTTTGCCCTAAAAACGTTTCCTCTTTTTTTTTTTTTTTTTCTGCCAAAAAAAGAACACGATTTCCCGGGACGATTGATCCTCCTGCAATCTTTGCTTTTTTCAGAGACAGTATTTTTGGCGAGATAGAACATTCTAAAGCGATCTTTGGTGAGTCAAATTTTTTTTGACATAAAGACCAATTTTCTTTCTGATTGATACATTTTATCTTTAGAAGAGTCGTTGGTTCCCGCAAAATATTCGATGATGCACTTCATAGTATCACTCACTTATTCACATACAGTGTTCGGTCGCGCACGTTTATGGGCCGCCTCGGCAAAAATGTAGATCCGGACACGCGGATATCCGCATCAATCTGTATCCGCAGCCCCAAGCATCCGCATCTGATCCGTATTCCGCCAAATATGTTTCATTTTTATCCGCATTCGCCAGTTTATTGCGGATATCCGCGGATAATCCGCGGATATGCAGGGCTCTTCCCACAGCAGCAGCCTTATGACTCACGAGACTTTGAATATTATAAGCCCAAAATCAGTGTGGCTTAAAAGAAAAAAAAAACTGCTTCAAGATAAACATTGGATGTCATAAGACAGTACATCAAGCAGTACCGTCAACTTGTTATTTTTATGTAGGGCTGTTTTGTTTTTACACTCCAGACAGTACAGGTTCCTTTTTGTTTATCTATTTATTTAGAAGAGTGTGGTGATCTATTGCTAGAAGTTATAAAGGAATGAAACAGACAATAAAAATGATTTACTATAGTTGCACATTGTTTGCCTTTATGCTGTTTATTATCAACTTATTTCTGATCATAAAAAAGGAATTCAGAAAGTTTATTGACTTACTCATGACTTCACATTCAAGAATATATACTAGAAGAAGTTGAGGTTCCACTGCTCATTATTTTACTTAATGATACAATGAGTAATGTAACCCGTTCCATTCACAAAAAAAAAAAATTTAAGTCTAATCACAAAGCCGAACTCACCAATGTCTTCCAAGGTAAATGAAGTTTCCTGAACCCTTACTTCGTCGTCAGGCAAGACACCTCCTTCTTCAACATCCTCATCTGAAAGCCCTTCAACATCCTCATCTGAAGACTCATCAACCTCGTCGTCTTCATCCTCCTCTTGCGACTTTCTCTGAGATATTCTCCACACCCGAAGAAGGTTGTCTTGGCTGCAGCTGGCAAGATACATGCTGCCGTCGTCTGTAATTCAGAACGAGAGGTACTTTCACCACAAAGCGACAAAGTGAGGACGGCTTCATAAAGATGAGTTTAAGGATGAGAAAGGAGATATTTTCCAACCGATAGCAAACTAAGGTCTGCCATTTGTTTGTTTCCACAGATTGAGTTGAGCTGCTATCTAAGAGCAGCTATCAGTTATGTAATTATTTCAAAAGGCCAAAACACCACTGCCTTATCCAAGCCACCAGGATTCACAAGAACCGGTCTCCATAGCAGATGAGCGAGTGTAAAAACATACAGATTCACCAGCACATGAGGGCACAATCTGGCTTTACGAGACAACCCCCTTTGAATATTTTTTTTTCAGGCATAACTGCACACCTTTAATTTCAACAAGACAGCAATAAAGTATCAGGTATAAGCCACGAGGTGCACCAACTCACCGCAAGTCTTGAAATCGAGGCCCCTGACCCAGTCGTCGTGGCCATGAAGGGTGTGACACTCCACAAAGAGCCCCTCAGAGTTCCTGTAATAACAGTGGACCAATGCGTCCGTTCCTCCCCAGGCCATCATCGGAACTGAGGGACAAATTCAACAGGAGTGTCAACAGCAGTGGTGAAAAGACGCAAGCGCAAAAGAAAGCACTGAGAAAAGCTGAATGCCCGTACTGTTTGTTCCAGGGAGGAGGGTTAACCTCACGTCCAGTGCAGAGTTGCGTTTCAGCTCGATTACTTGAGAGCATGTTGGATCTGAACCTGCAAAGAAATGCATTTGTAACCGTGCATTCAGTCTTCCGGAGAAGTTTCGAATATGCGGGGTGTTCTCCGACACGTGGAAAGCTCTGAAGCTTTACGCCGCTGGTTGTAGCCACTCAGTGGTGATGAGTAAAACCTCATATGTGTCTGTGTGTCAGTAGGATGAATTTGGGGACAGAGCTTTTGCAGTTGTCACATCACAACAAACTATGTTTCCAGCACTGTTACGGGTTTTTCACTTTCTAGGCGGACCATGCTGCATAGACAACCATAGTCACTGACAGGAATGGCAAAGTGTCTCTTTCTCCAGCACATGTTCATTGCCTTTGGACATCCTTGGGCTGCTAGTGCACACTCGAGTCTTACGATCTGCCAAAGTGATATCGAAGGAAGGAAGGTAGCACCAGAGGCGGGACAACTGAAAGAACTCCAAGTTGTTGTTTCTCGTCAGAATCTGTGTGCTTCTGAGGATAAGCGAATAAACATACCAATGCAGATGTCCCATAGCCGTATTGTAGCATCTGAGCTGCCACTGGCGACGAGGAATGAGCTTTCGTCCGTAACAGAGAGGTGAAATGCATCGGTCGTCGCAACTGTGCCTGTGTGTCCTCCCAGCACAGCAACAGGAGCGAACTGTGCATGCGACATTAAATGGAAAATAAATAAATGTTGCAACAGCTGATCTTGTTTGTCTGCGTTACACTTTCAATTTGCTTTAGTATATATGGATGGATGGATGGTAATAGCTATACCCATTGTAACGGGCGGCAGCTTGCGCCACCTAGCCTAACATTTCGTCATCCCTTCCTTTTTTTTTAAATTTGTATAAATTTTGTCATAACACTACCCCCCCCCTTTTAAAGTGTTTCCATTGCTTATTTTTATCTGTTTTTTTTTTTCCCTCCCTCGATCTTTTTTGCCAATCTTCCAATCTCCTCTTAGTTACTGCAATTCCTTCCCTATCCATCCGTCCATCCATGTCTGTAAATCCCCAGTGCCCCCTCCAAATCCGTAGTCATCCCCCCCAAAAGGGTGGGACGAAGCCCTGTGCACCTTAAAATTACATGTTCTATAGTTTTCCTTTCGCAGTTGCATATGTTGCATAGAGTGTCAATTTCCTGGAATTTAGCCCTATATGTTTTCGTCTTAGCACCCCCGTTCTAGCTTCAAACAGTAAAGAGCTCCCAAATGAATTATCATACAACTGTTCCTTCTTTATTTCTTGGTTTTGTGCCCTGTATATTGTTAAAGCTGATTTCCCCAGCACTCACTCTCCCCACAATTTCCTCTCTGTTTCCTTTACTCCCTTTTCTACTGGTATGCTCTGATCAGCCCCATCTCGTTGAATGTATTTAGATCTCAGCTTTCGGGTTCGGTTTGTCCACTTAGTGATTAGAATTTTCATATATAGATACTTGTAAACTTTCGCTGCCCACCGTGTCTCCTCAATTTCAGCTAGTCTTTGTCCAAATTTTGCTTTACTGATCGCTTCTTTACTCTTGAAAGATGCCCAACCCATATCCCCCTGTACTCCCTCATTCGGTATATTCCCATGTGACCCCCATGCCAACCTACGCACACTCCTTTGCTGTATCTCTAAGCCTGCCTGGATTTCTGACCTCATACACAATACTGCATTCCCAAATGGCAGTCCTAGCACCATGACTACCTTTCATACACGCCTAACGGCTTCATATCTATTATAGTTCCAGAGTGCCCTGTGTTTTATAATAGGTGAATCTCCTTTGGCCCTTCTTTATTACAATATCTTCATAGTCTTTTGGATACCATCTTCCTTCACTTAACCATACTCCCAGATATTTGTACTTTTCTACATGTTCTATCAATGTGTCCTGTATCTCCAGGGGTTTTCCTTCTCGTCGTTGAAAACTATTATACCCGACTTGACCCTACTAAATTTTAGTCCTAAACTGTCCCCTTCCCTGCTGCAAATCCTAATCAGTTCCTGCATTGTCACACGACTTTCTGATACGAGTACAATGTTGTCTGCATACATTAACCCTGGCAATACTTGATTTACTTTATGCCCTTTCTCCATGTAAGTCAGGTCAAGACCTAGATTGCTCTGCTCTAACCTTTTTTCCATCTTACTGAGGTATATCATAAAGAGCAGGGGACACAATGGGCAACCCTGTTAATGCTACCCCCCCCCCCCCCCCGCCCATATATATATATCAGGGGTGGCCAACGTTACTAAAACACTCAGTTGGGAAACTCCCATAGAGACAGCTTTGAAAAAGTGGCCCCAATCTGTCTCCGAGCACCGAGCTAATGACGAACACAACGCCACCATTTCTCCCGCAGCGGCCTCTCGAAAACTGCACGCGACTTCTGTTTTGGCTTTAAGAACAGATACAGCGGTAGAGGTTACAGGGGTGCCACCCCCGTATCCCCGGCGGACGCGCCGCGTTCGACCACTGACGTTAAAATGCACCTAGGTCAGGACGTGCTACCTGAAAGGCCCGCTGAGGCATAGTTGTATAAAAACAATATTAATTGTTCCGCAAAACCTTGCGAACTAAAGATGATAAAAACATCACGCGCCCACCACTTGGTACTAAACTCCAATAAATTTCATACAAAACGAGTCTTTTCCGTTTGTTTTTACGCAAAAACAGGCTTTCAAAAAGCTCAAGGTGACCACAGTACAGACAAACGATAAAGAGTGGCGCTGTTGTCGCATTTAGCTCGGTCTCGGTGGACGCCAGCGGCCCAGGTTTCGACGGCGAGTTTCCCAACTGAGTGTTTTAGTAACGTTGGGGGTGGCCAAGCAGCGGCTCGAGAGCCGCATGCGGCTCTTCGCCTGTTAAAGTGCGGCTCGCGGCTTCCTCTCCTACCTCCCTACCGGTCACACGAGCACTTCCCAAAAAAAAGAATGGATCGCCTTTTAACTTTTTAACGGCAAATTTAGTTTTCAGTCGACAAAAAAAAAAAATATATATATTTTTGTGTGAATGTGGTGCCTAAGGTGCTCTAAAAAAAGACAGAACCATAGTGAATTGCGACGAGTACCCTATTTGGCTAAAAGAGGTATGTCGCGAATTCGCGACAACAGGCCACGAAGTCAATAATTTTACCGACGCCATCAGAATAAAATTATTTTTTTTAATTAATTATATAATCGTAGTAAAAACGTCTTGAAAGGACTGAAACACCGTTTTGTTTATTGTGTTCCCACAACGAACAGGGACATCACAGAAAGCATCTGGCTTCTACTTTATGGCTGATGAAAATCAAAGAACCAGTTGGAGTTCTTGTTGAGGCAAAGATGTGCGTTGCATTTGCTGCACGTTACGTTGGTATGCCCTTGCAACCAGGTTTCTTGCACCGCTGCCTCGTGTCTTTGACAACCGGCCAATATCCTTTGCTGTCCGTGTGGACGTCCTCGTCGGATATGTGGCTCGTGGGTCCTCGTCGCTTCTTCATTTCGAGTAGAGCTTGAAGAGAACCGGAGAGTCGATCCCATTCTTTTGAAGAGAGGTCCTTTCCTTGCTTGCAGAGGGCTTCCGCAATTCCAAGCCGGAATTTCAGCAGGTCTCTCTGCTCATTGTCTGGTACGCCCAGTAACTGACAGTCTCGTCGGTAGAGGAGCCAGCTCACAACGATCACCATGTCCCAAAAGTGAAAAACAAAGCTTGAGGTAACATTTTTTTTACCTCAACTGGATCCAATAGTATGCTATCAGTGCATCAAAGAGATCAACACCTTCCATGTACTTGTTGTACGTCACAACTGCGCTAGGACACTCGACCTGGGCAGACTTCTTTTCACGCTTATTCAACCTCATGAGAGTGGAGACGGGTTGTGCACCGGCAAGGTACTTGCTCTCGTCACCGATCGGTTGTCGTACCACTTGACAACGATCACCTTCTGGTTATCCACCACTGCCTCGTACTCTTCTGCACTTCCTCGTCCTTTCTTGCAGAGTTCTGTGTCCGAGGCCATATTACAACCCTGCAGTCGATTCGCACGTACAATGCCGAGGGCATATATGCCTTTTTGTGCCAAAACCACGAGAAGATTCAGAGAAGTGAACCAATTGTAATAGTACAAAAGGTGGCCCAGTTGAGGCTGCACGCACTGAGCCAGCTTTATGATGATGTTACCACTGGCCCCGATGAGAGGAAACCCCGGCACTTGATCTATGTGGCCTGTGTACACGTCAAAAGGGTGTACAACACCGCTGGAGTCACAGAGTATGAATATCTTGTAACCCCACTTGTAAGGCTTCTTGGGGAGGTATTGCTTGATGCTGAAGTGCCCTTTAATGAAACCATCTGTTCGTCCACACAGAGACATTGTTTCTGAGGAATCTCTTCGAATTTCGGCAGCAGCATCTCGAAAAGCGGGCGAATCTTGAACAGTCTATCCTTCGGGGAGTTGTCGGCTGGTGGCATTCTGAGGTTAACGTTGAAGTGCAGCAAGGATTTGACCTCCTCCCACCTGTCGCGCGTCATAATATCGGCCACAACTGGTTGTCTGCATTCAGCTGACCAGTACAAACAAGATCGTGGTAGCTGGAAGACCGACATGTAGACTGTGCAGCCTAAAACGTGCTCAAGGTCCACACTGGGCAAGGCGAGAGGCTTATTCGGGTTTTGCTGTACTGCGTAGAGATTGCTCTGCTGCAGGATTAGATTGAACGCGGGGTCGTCGAAGAATCCCTGGAAGTACTCAATTGGGGACCTAACGGCCTCACTCTTATGCACAGGACCTTTCCACTGAGGGACGTCATTACTCAGAAATGCAGATGTTTTGTTTTTGACCAGTGCACTGGCCGATTCACTCTTTTCGAGGGAGTTAGCACCGATTCTTCTTCTTCACTTTCTTCGCTTATGTCATCATTGGGGGGCGCATTAAACTGTTGGGGAGGGTCGTAGTCCGCATCCTCATTGTGCTACTGCTATCTTACGTATACAGTTGGACTGCTTTTGACTCGGATAGATTGTAAGTATTTTGAGTTTCGTTTATTGCTCTACACGAAAGTTTGCCAGCCGCCCCGCCCAACCGCCCGCCCCCCCCCCCCCGGGGCCGGCTTTTGGAAGTTTCGTGGTTTTGTTTGCGGCTCTTAGGCCGGGTCAGCCTGGCCACCCCTGATATATATATATACCTTATTCGGATTTTTTTTTTTTTTAATTTATAATTTTATATAAAGTGCAAGTGCAGGATGAGGACGACGGCAAGACGTCTCTTTCCGATACCCGACCTGCAGCACGCGGTCGTTGTCTTTCGTCTTGCTCGGGCTGCGCGCGCACGCTGGAGACTCGAGTCGCAGGATCATAAGCGTCTATGGACCACGGTACATACCTCACTGTTCTTTTTGCACCATAGTGTCACGGTCTTGTCGTCTGACGAACTCAAAAAGGCAGTCTCTGGATCTGAGAAAAACAATTAAGTCAGTAACTCTTAATTAGAATAACAAAAATCGCGGCCTGTGCTGGTACCAAAAAATCATACCGTTGTTCCTTTTGCGGATCCACCGAACGCAGTTGATCTTCTGTTTGTGATTCACGTGCGTCGAAGTAACGGCACCAGTTCCACCGTTGGCCTGTGAAAGATTTGAAGGGAATTTTACGGGTGGCAGTATGACAGAAACACGTTGCTGAAGTTCGCGAGCGATTTGATGATACGCGTTGAGCAAGGCCCGAAGCCGATCCCCAGTACCTGGGGGTCGTACAACACGACAGCATTGCACGCCGCGTAGCAGATGATGTTGTTATAACCCCAATCAAGAGCTTGGGGGTTTCGATTGCAGGCGCAGCTCGTATAAATAGCTTTTACGTCCATTTCAAAAGTTTGAGACCTCGCACAACGCGCCCCACGTGCGGCGTTAGTTCTGCCTGGTACGATCGTAGCGCCACCGCTCTTTCCGGGTCCAGAACAGCTGTTCGAACCATTACTAATAGCACGCATAGTTATCCTTCGTTTTATTAACCAAATAATTTATATTGTATTTTAACTTGTTTTAATTTTGTACACGACTTTGTTATACAACTTTGAAGTAATGTAGAACGTCCTATATTTTGCTTATCGTGAAGTCTTGCCAGGTGGAGATTGCAAGATGGCCGACGTTGAGTTGCGGGAGTGATGCTCTGTGCGGTGAATTTGTGGTGATTATGCTCCGTGGCGCTTTTTAGGATTCTTGTGCAAGGTAAGCCTTCGGTTCTTCGTCTAGTCTATAGGATATCGAATGTATCCGCTCGACTGGACGCTTGAAATACGGTCTGCAGGGGCCTCGAATTGGAAACGCTGTCAGCTCCGATTCCAATTAAGCCTAACGTTTTGTACCGCTTTCGATGGGATCGTGGCGTTTAGTTGGCCCCATAGTCCCCTTCCAAAAATACCGGTGGTGGTTTTACTGACGGCGCTGCTCAAACTCGTCAGTTGCGCAGTTACGTCGACACCGCTTTTCAGTAGGTGCGTTAATTTGCCGCAGTACCGCAGCTCTCCGATGTCTGTGTCAATTGCATCGGAAACTTCTCACGCTGCGTGAGTCCGACCCTGCTGAATATGCTCGCGTGCTTACAACACGTACGTTGCCGCGATGTATGTCATAGAGGCGTGCTTGTGTCATTCGTCTTTCACCTCCAACCGGTGCCTACGTGGAAACGCGTCCTCGAAATGCCGCGATAGCGAACGCGACTGACGTTGACACCGTGTTGACCGTGTGGCATGTGTAAACACAGCGAGAGGAGATGCACGGTGGGGAGCACACGGGATACCAGTCGCAGCACGAACAACTCGTAATCCTAGTCGCACGTGCTGCAATGTCGTTGTTCAGACTCAATGCCGGCTACTATCATATGACGCCCGAGAACCCTCACTGCCCTCACCCTGAACTCGGTGGTTATTTCCAAGTTCCGGGATGTCGTGTCGATCACAAAGTCGTCTCCGATGATGATGTGTGCTCACGCCTCTTCTCTCTGGTGATCGTCTCCCAATGAGGTACGGTAAACAGACAATTTTAATGCTATAGTCAGGTGACCGTCTTGTAACTTTTTGTGTGCAGAATGCTGGAAAAGTGCTAGAAGTTTATAGAAGATTGTCGGTTTGCATCGTTTCATTGGCAGGCTGATACAAAATTCAAAGAAGGTACTGCAACTTCCGCATTTCCACTACTTTGTCGGTTTCAGAGTCAAGTACGTTTCTTCCCGTCTGGTGATTCTCTTTACGCATGTCGTCGTGAACACGAGAATCCACGGTATTATGAGTCGGGGGACCCCCGGTCTCATGGTGGGGACGCGCCCGCGTGTCGTCATCGTCGTTTTTCGAGTCGTGCAATGCCGTGCTGGCAGCGACGCTTGATAGTGGCGGCCTTTCCCGCCGGACGTTGTGTTTTATCATGCGCTAGCGTATTGTTGCTGTTGGATGACTTCGTCCCGCGACGATCTCTGCTCCGTTTGTTTGTCTGAGGGACTTCCTCTTCATTAAGAAAACGTCATAGTCTGGAGGTTGAAGCAAAAGGGGACATCTTTTTTTATTTCTTTCTTTTTTTTTTTATTATATTTGCCTACCTGCGGAATAATCACCCAACTGAAAACCTGCTGATGCCGTTCGTCATGTCTTGCATCAAGCTTGGGAGGAGTGGGGAGGCAGAGCGTTCTATGATGACAGTAACGGCAACACAAATATGATAGATGGACGGTGCATAAGTACGCCCGGTCGAAGCAGCACCGTTCTAGTTCGACGTTGAGTCGTTCGCCCGGTTATTTTTTTCTTTCTTTCTTTTTTTTTTTTTTTTTTGTGTCCATGCTATCAGTCGTGATCTCCTCAGCCACGCTCAATACTTCATTGAGTAAAGAGAAATTAATTCGTTTTTCGGCAGCGTTATTTGTACTCTCGGCGGCTGTGTGGGGCCTATGAGTATTCGTCTCAGTATGAGCGCGTGCCCTTCTCGCATTAACCGCAGCCGCGGTAGATGTGTGTGTGTGTCAAACACCAAAACGGAAAACTCCCTCGAACACGGACCATTAGGAACATTGTGACGACGTTCAACGATCGAAAACTACGATACATGGTGCAATGCCGTGTTGCCGCTCTTGCCCAAGTTATCTGTACAGAGGCACAGCGCTTGCACAATGTGTACAATGAAACGGCCCTTACCCCACGTTGGGCGCCACAGAACGAGGGAAATTCATTCTGCCTTTTTCGTGAACTGTCGAGAGTCTGCCCAGCGTCCACAGCCGAACAAAAAGTTCGATCCGATCAGAACTTGCGTTTGCTTTTAAGTTTCTCGTCTCAATGATGGCAGTGAAAGTGTGTCACTCTCCACGAGTCTGTCTAGTTCGGAATTAAACGAAACGATCTGTGTTTGGAGCGACATCTCGAGTGGGAGGATTTGATCTGTCCCAACAGCCATTGCTCGGTTTGGTTAGTCATGGGGAGACACTCTAAAAGATTCACGTAAGAACGGTTCATGTCGTGTTAGCAGGGAGCAAAACACATTGTGGAATAATCAGGAAAATGGAGGTGTCTACATGTTTTTTTGCTTACGCTCGGTCGATACGCGAGAGGTGCCAAAACGGCGACTACTTACTATTGCATCTCATATGCAACAAGTCTTTTCTCGCAGCTTGTAAAATAGCAATGATACATTCGAGGCGATTGGTCCAGAGTAAAGGTTTTTTGGTTCTTCCTGAACTGTCATTGTTCGTGTCTGCCTCTTTTTCATAGACCGGATGCTTCGACAATTTGCTTCGGACAGTCGTCGTAGAGTCGCCCGTGCATGGCTCCGTTGACTTCATTATTTTTATTTTATCTTTTTTTCGTTGGCGTCCTTCGGGCCGTGAATGCTCCCCTTTCTCGTTTCTACGCTCGAGTTCATGTTTTTATGTAGTACCCTGTCTGGCTCGCTGGTCCGAGGAACTGAATTTTTCTTTGGCGGCCTTCCCTTTTCACGAAGCGCCGCCGGAGGCCGAGAGGGGGGATCGCGTTCAGGGCCGCTGGCGTGCGCGTCCGAAGCGCGATAACGAGTCACAACACCGCGCCTTTTGTGTTGTGTCAAAACAGCCACCTTTCTCCCGAGGGGGGAAGACAATCGGGCTCGAGTGGGCGCCCGATAGCCCCCGCCGATTATGATTGTACTCTCGCGGAACAAACGCCCGCGCTACTTGCATCGGACGCAGATCGTCTCGGTGGCGTGAGCATCACTCCCTTGTTAATTGTGGATAGATTTACGAAATACCTTTGGGATCTATGACACTGCCGGAAACCCGTCTCTTTGTTCTGGTTAGGTAAGTTTGCTTTGTGTGTGTTGGGGGGATGTACGGCGTACTATCGAAATATTTTTGTTGCGCGTGAAACGTAAGGGCTCGAAAAAACCGTTATCCTGCCTGACTTTGGAAGTCGTCCGAGCTGCTGTGGTGATTGGCGTGCGACTGCGCTACGCGACTGCAGCTCGTTCTACTTCAGGACGGGTCAACTTAGTAGGGGGGGGGGGGGGGGGGGGGTTATTTTTAGCTGACGTCTCCTGGTTTATTTTCGCAGTCCGCTTAATTAGCGGACCAAACAAGAAACAGTGCCACGTCGCACGCACAAATGTCAGAACTCTTTTTTTTTTTTTTTGGTTAGCACAAAGTTTTAGAGACTAGTGTCACGTCACGAACTCCGGAGTGCCTTAAAGGAAGTAACGTATTTTTTTTTTTTTTTAGTGGGGAGGGGTTTTAGCAGAAGAAAAGGGAGGCTGCGAAAAAAAAAAAAGCGACGCCTGATAACTATCTCATACAAGCGACTCGGCCGAATAACATTGCATCCGCAATAACAGTCCTGTAGCTTCCGCAGTCCTCCACCGCTGTCGAAGCTTCTTGCTCGAGCGAACGCAAGCGAAAGTCACGTGCACGTGCTGTCGCAGCAGCACGGAAGCTGCGCAGCCTTGACAGCGTAGCACTCTATGACGTCACGTCACTGAGGTAATGCCGCTGTCGGCACTGTGGTGTGGGCAGAGGGGCTCGTTTGTAAACAGCGTGTTAGTGTATAGCAACTTCCTGTAACGCTCTAATGTAACGGAAGCGCGTCACACGAGTGCGGCGTCAGCGTTCGACTGCGACTCCTGTCTTCACTGGTACAACACGAGAATGGGGGCTTGGGGGAGGGGAGGGGGGGGGGGGGGCGTGGGCGGGCACATGTAGATATACGGAACATAAAAAGAATCTTCATACAGCCCGAGTGCAAAAAAACAAAACAAAAAAAAAAAAAAAAACCTTTACAAGGCGCGATATGTTTTTTTGTTTTTTTTTCCCAGATATTACAAGCTTTGGTGATAAACTGACAGTACTTGTCCATCTCCTCATCCCTGGCGTCTCTAATGTTGGGACCTTCCACGCAAACTTTCATTAGGGCATCTACATGGGCGGGAGTCAGACGAGACCTTTCTGAGGTAAGGATCCTGTTTATGGTTGAGAAGGTATCTCTACATCAGCAGTTCCAACAGGAAGAAGCGAGATCTTCTTTGCTGCAGCAAACAGGGCAGGAAACGTGGCTTGCCTCTCGACTCCGCACGCAAGTGCCAGCAGTTCTTTCTGCGAAGCCAGGTTGCCGGAATATCTTCCGTAGATCTTATATGCGCTGACCATGTCCTCTTCGCTCGTCCCGCGCATCTCTGATATTTTTCTGAAATTTGGATTTACCTCTCTTGATAAGTAAATTTCGTGAATTCTCGCCAGCTCTAGAAACTCGTCAGAAAAACCTTTTGTGCGTGTTGTTTACAACTTTTTCTTTGTGCAAAGCTGGTCTTTGGAGGTCTTTTCCGCTCTCCTCGTCGTCATCCTCCACTCGCACTTCATTTCTTAGTGCTTCTTGCACGAGGAGTTCTGCCTCCAACTTGAGACTTTCCATACTGATGTTTCCAATTGATGGCATGACTGCTCGGAGGTCGGTGCGCTTTATGGCAGCGTAAAATCGACTAAGTAAAGGATTTTGTTTTCGCTCCCTGCAAGCATTACTCCTGCCTTTCTCTACGTCGATGGTGCCGGCGGTGTTCAGGGACTTTCATTTTACGGGTGTCCGGTTTTCCCGAATTGGTCAGGCTGACAGCTTCTTTGTTTGCGGTTTGATCAACTCGGGGCTCGATAATTGTTCATGGTTTGACCTCACATCTCGAAGGACGAAGCGGATTAGTTTCCATCTGCGAACGTTTGGTTTGTTTCTCTTCGT